CCATTTGTTAGTGTCCTCTTTAATTTCTCTTAAGAGTGTCTTATATTTTTCAGGGTATAGGTCTTTCACTTCCTTGGTAAGGTTTATTCCTAAGTATTTTATTCTTTTTGATGCAATTGTGAATGGAATTGTTTTCCTCATTTCTCTTTCTATTAGTTCATTGTTAGTGTATAGGAAAGCCACAGATTTCTGTGTTAATATTGTATCCTCCAACTTTGCTGTCTACCGATATCAGTTCTAGTAGTTTTGGAGTGGAGTCTTTAGGGTTTTTTATGTACAATATCATGTTATCTGCAAATAGTGACAATTTGACTTCTTCTTTACCAATCTGGATTCCTCGTATTTCTTTGTTTTGCCTAATTTCTGTGGCTAGGACCTCCAGTACTATGTTGAATAACATTGGGGAGAGTGGGCATCCCTGTCTTGTTCCCGATCTCAGAGGAAAAGCTTTCAGCTTTTCACTGTTCTGTATTATGTTGGCTGTGGGTTTATCATATATGGCCTTTATTATGTTGAGGTACCTGCCCTCTATACCCATTTTGTTGAGAGTTTTTATCATGAATGGATGCTGAATTTTGTCGAATGCTTTTTCAGCATCTATGGAGATGATCATGTGGTTTTTGACCTTCTTTTTGTTTATGTGATGGATGATGTTGATGGACTTTTGGATGTTGTACCATCCTTGCATCCCTGGGATGAATCCCACTTGGTCATGGTGTATGATCCTTTTGATGTATTTTTGAATTCGGTTTGCTAATAATTTGTTGAGAACTTTTGCATCTACATTCATCAGGGATATTGGTCTGCAGTTTTCTTTTTTGGTGGGGTCTTTGCCTTGTTTTGGTATTAGGGTGATGTTGGCTTCATAGAATGAAAGTGGGAAAAAAGCTGGAGTGTGTGTGTGTGTGTATGTGTGAGTGTGTTTCATAACAAGGGAGGGCAGCAGGACAGAAGTAGATGAAACATAAAGTTAAAAGACTATGAAAAAAAAACTCAGGATGATGGAAAAGAGGCCCTTGGATTATAGCTCTGTACCAGTAGTGGAAGATGAGTAGGCCAGGCATCTCCAGGAGAGACTCCTTCAAAATGAGGAAATTGATGTGATTTGTAATATGAATCAGTGTGTTAAGAGGAGATGTAGAAAACTGGTAGATGGTTTGGGGTTGGAAAGCAAGAAAAAAAGAGAATGGAAGGAAGGAAGGAAGGAAGGAAGGGAGGCAGGGAGAGAGGGAAGGAAAGTAGGAAAGGAAGAAAGGAAGGAACAAAAGAAAAGAAAAAAAAAGACATTTCCAGGGGAAAAAATACTATGCAGGAGAAAGGAAAAAAAATTATTAAGTGTGTCAGCTCTGATGGAATATATAGTCATAAGGAGATGAATAACTCATATCTCTGTGCCCAAAATGATGAGCTTTATAGAGAGGATGGGGGATGGGAACTATCTCTGTGATGGTTGGGAGTTGGAAAGAGCAAACATCTTTATCCTTCATAGTGGGAAGATTAGAACTTCTCAAGTTTGTTTAAGATAAAGGCTTCACAGAAAATGGTAATTGTCTGCTGAATGGCTCAATTAGAGGTATTTAGAGTTCCAAATGGTGCTACTTGTTACTCGAGGTAATCCTGTATGACCAGTTGATATTTTAAACCATATGAATATGTAATTATAATTATTGACACCTTAAAAAATGACTACTTTGGTCTCATGTGTCACAAAGCAAGTTAATGTATTAAAGGCAAAATAATACACCAAAACATACTGAATCTTTTTTTCTTCCCCTTTTATCACTTATTAGGGGTGTGACAGGAAGAATGATGGCCCTCAAGAAAAATTCCATGTCCTAAATTCCATGGCTGTGAATGTGGTATCGTTCATGCCCGTGAATATGTTAACAAAATTCATGGCAAAAGGATCTTTGCAGATAAACTTACTAAGATTACTTTAAAATAGGGAGATCATCCCGGGTTAAGTGGGCCCAGTGTAATCACGGGACCCCTTAAAAGCAGAAGCTGGAGAAGTTTGAAAGGGACTTGACGAATCATTGCTGGCTGAAGATGGAGAAGAGCACATGAGAAGGAATGTAGGTGGCTTCCAGGAGCAGAGAGCAGCCCCCAGCTGACAGCTGGCGAGGAAACAGGGGCCTCAGGCCTGTAGCTGCAGGGAACTGGGTTCTTCCAACAATGAAGGGACTTGGAAGAGGACCCCAGGCCTCAGGACCACAGCCCTGGCCAGTTCTCTAATCTTAGCTAAGTGAGCTCTGAGCAAAGAATCTAACTAGGCTGTCCAGGGTTTCTGACCTGCAGAAACTGACAGGTAATAAATTTGTGTTTGAGCAGCTGTGTTTGTGGTAAATTGTTACATAACAGTGGATAATACAAGGGGGAAAAGGCTAGGTTCTTCCCATTTTGAGCAAGTTTTGAAAATTTTTGTCTTAGCAACTATTATTCAGAATAGGCTAAGTTCTGTGACAATCCCATTCTTTCCTTGGCCTCAGTCAATAAGATTTCTCTCTCAGGTTACAATCCAACTGATGCTCAGCAGTGGATTTAATCTATGCAGTTATTTATGGGCCAGGCTCAGTTCTGCAGTTCTCAGCATCTTCTGGTTCTTGGATTCTCTGCATTTGGCCAGTACATGAGGGAACAGAGATTGTGAGAATAATGCAGGGGGTATTAAAGGCCAAGCCTGGAAGCAGTGAACTTCACCCACCAACATTCTACTGGTGATAGTCACCTTCTCACCTACATACATGCAAAGGGGGCTGGGAAGTACAATCTGGCTATGGGTTATTTAATCTAGTAGGTGAAAGTGCCCCTTCTGTACAACCAGCTCATTTTTCCTACAGTGTCTTGGGAACTGGAGGTATAAGGTAGTAGCATTGGAAAATCCTGATTTTACCAAAAACAAGCAGATTCTAGGAAAGACCTATTAGGTTTGGAATAAGATAGTTAAAACAAATTATATTGCCTTTATGTAAATCATAAATGCTCTGGCTCCCTACAGCCTTTTGCACCTTGTGTTATATACAAACTACTTCACATATTTGTATTCCCTTATTGGCTTCGAAACACATTTGATGTTGTCAATCCTAGATCCAAAGTCATTGATGGGACATTGCATGTCATCGATGGATGAATATTAGTAACTCAGAAAGGGGAGAGAAATGGGAGAATGCCGTTAGGAAGCAAAGAGAAAAAAGAGGGATTCTTGCAGATTGGAAAGGTCCAGGAAACATTAAGGTTTCTAACTTGCTCCCTAGCATCATTACCAGTGGGATGGAAAAAGAGGACATTTTTTTTACATTTATATTTTCACATTTTGAGTCTGGACTCTAGGCATTGTATTCTTGCAATTTTAGAAAAACTCCCATGTTCCAAGTGTGGTATAGAAGCATCAAGTTCATAGGACACATAGGGCCTAATGTGAACTGGGGCAGTGAGTTTCTCAGTGGTAAGTGGTATAGCCCAGTCACAGATGACAGAAATCACCTCTCCAAAGAGTTGGTACTATTTAAGACCCCAGGACACTTGTTCATGTGTGTGTGTTGGATAGGTATGAGGCTGAATGGCCAGGAGTGACTGTGGATGGAATTCTCAAAAAATTTGATTAAGAATTGCAAATATGTATTTTCTGAATACCCAAGTTTATAGACTGCAAACTCATTATACAAGCACCATACAAACATGTGCTAATCTAGCTGAAGGAAAAGAGGAAATTATTATTATTCAAAGCAAGTTGAATACAGAATGGCAACCATTTAGGAACTGGAGGCCAACTCAGGGAGGGACCCTACCCAGACTGAACAACCTTGGGAAGCTCATTCTTATGACAGAAACAAAAGCAGCAAGGAGCAGATAGCCAGTCTCTCCAGCTCTGTGCCTCATTATTCTACACATAACTTCACTCACCTCTAGGTGAGGGTCCAGTCTTCCATTTATGCTTTTAAAAATGATTTATTGAATGCCTACTAAAAGCAGTACTCTATGCAGGATTCTGTAGAAGACACAGATATGACACAGTCTGCAATTATTCATAAGGACATGAGAGAACTGCAAGGATGTATGCGATTTCAAAAAGGAAGTTAGAGAGATTCCTGTAAATACTTAGACTTTCCGAAACAGGAAGAGCAAAACACAGAAACCAACAAGGGTGATTAAGATTATAGGAAGAAGGGATGGTTAACAACTCCAGATGTATCGGGAGGAGGACTGAGGGTAACTGATAGCTTTTGAGCACTCAATTCCTTTTGACCACAGAGGAAGAAATATACATAATAAGGGTTGAGAAATTAGAAGTAATGAATGCAGGCATATTGATGGGAGCTAGAGCTTGACTCAATATATGACAGTCTGACATTCTTTTTATTATGACATCTGTATTGCTTCCCTTCCCTGAATCCTACTTCCCTGTGTCTAGGTAAGTTTTACTGTCTCCCTATATGCCACATTCCGTACTCCCTACCACATTCTACCTCATTAATAACTGAACAAACTTAAGAGTATATATCCTCAACATAAATTTGGGGAGGAGGAAGTAAATTGGGTGATTGGAAATAGCAAAACAGGGGAATGGGGGATTGATTTTGTTCCTTTTGACAATTTTGGTTCTTGAGTCCTTAGAGAGTCTGCATAGACTTCTTCCTGGTTGAGTTACTGGGCAAATAAATACACAGAGGAGGAGGCAAGAAATATTTGCACCATAGAAAAGTAGGTGCATTAAATATTTAGCTGTGAAATGAACTGGTGATCATCAATTCAAACACTAAGGTTGAAAACAAAGAGTTTAAATGTGAATTATTCCTTCACCCCCAGAAAGTTCTGATACGGTGTTAATGTTTATTGTCGTTTTATTTTAATTAAGGAGAAAACCTCTAACTGTTCTCCATGCCTTTCATTTTCTGGTGAGTGAACAAGGTAGCGACTACACTTGAGAACATAGGTTGGAGGAGATTATACTATTTTCCCCTAATTTGGTTCCATTAATTGGGAGAAATGTTATTCAGTCTTCAGATTGCTGTTGATCTTTTGGATGTGAGGTAAGCGTTGAAGTCAGATCTTCTTTGTATGAAGCTGAACAAATTGAAATGTGTTGTGCAACTTGCTCTGAATCTATACTGGACTAATAACATGTCTTGTACTGTGCTTTGGCAGGAGGAACAGTGAAGATCTGTCCTCATGTCTTCTGACTGCAGGTCACTTGGGTTTTGGCACTGACATTTTTGGGATGATATGTCCTGGTATGATATATATTGGGATGGTATATCTTTGGATGGTATGTCCTGGGATGGTGTATCTTGGGATGGTGTGTCCCCTGGTTTGATGCCGGTTGTTTTCATATCATTTATTTGCATGTCTTCTTTTTCAGTACTTGTGGACTGAAGGTCTTGTTGGTCATCATCTTGATACTGACTATCTTGAAATAGAGCATCTTGTAATCGCTGATATAGGTGATGTTGATTTAAGACATTCAGAGTTTGAGTTTAAGACATTCTTGACATAGAACTTTCTGCTTCAGGGATTTTTTCTTTGATACATCTTAGGTTTGCCCGGCTTAGGATCCCCAGTTGAGGGAATCCTGCATTTTGAATTGCAGTTCTTGTGCTTTGTTTTTCCAGTCTTGAGTTCTCTGGTCTTGGGATTGTTGGTCTAAATATTGCCAGCCTTGAGTTTTCCAATCTGGAGATTGATTTCTTGGGGATTGCCAATCTTGGTGTAGTTGCTTTGCAGATTTCTCCTCTAGGACCTGCTCATCTTAACCTTGCTGGTGTTGGGTTTGTTTTTTTGGGGATTGCTTCTTATCAGCCTGTTGATCTTTATCTTGTCTACCTTTGGATTCTTCCTTTGGGGATTGCTCCTCTTTGCCATGTTGGTGTTTAGCTTGCCCCATTGGAGATTGTTGCTTCAGGGATTGCTCCCCTTGGGCCAGCTGGTCTTCAGCTTGCTGATATGGGGGTTGCTGCATGGTTTGCTTAATTCAGACTCGCTTATCTATGGAGTGCCTCTTTGGGGATAGCCAGCCTTTGATGTATGGGTCTAGGGATTTCTTCCTTGGGGATTGCTGATCTTGGATTTGGACCAGACTTTTCTTTTTTGGAGATTGGCAGCCTTTGCTTTTCTGGCCAATGGAGAGCTGCTTTGGGGATGGTCAGTCTTTGCTTTGCTGGTCTAGGGCATGCTGTTTTGGGGATTTCCCTTCTTAGCGTTCCTTCATACATTTCCACTCTTGGGTCAGTAACATTTCTGATTAAATGTTTTGGTATGATATATGTGTAAATTGCTGGTCTTGAGTTTGGACGTTTTGTAGCTGAAGATCTGGGGATTGCTGATGTAGGCATTGTATATTAGGGCACTGCACAGCATGGAATGTTGGGTCTTTGTGCTGGCAGGACTTGTACTTGGGGAAGGCATGTCTTGGGATGGTACATTTTGGGATGGTATGTCCTGGTATGATAAATCTTGGGATGGTATGTCCTGGTATGATATATCTTGGGATAGTATATCTTTGGATGGTATGTCCAGGGATGGTATGTCTTGGGATGGCACGTCTTCAGATGCCAGGTTGTGAGAGACTGTGTGACATGGGATTGTGGGGCTCCAGATAGCAGGGTTGTACTGGCAGAATTTGGGTTGGCAAAGTGTGGGATGGCAGGTCTTGGGGTGGTAACAGTTGGAATTTTTTAATAGAAGGGGCTTGGGCCTGCAGCAGTTGGGTTTGTATTTCTGGGGATTGTACGGTAGCATATTGTAGGTCTTCATCATTCAGTTGTCTACTGTGTGTGATATTTTCTGAGGGCCTTTTCCTTTTATGTGGAAGTTAAAGGTTTCCACTCAGTTTGTTCCTTATAAAGTTTTAAAGGTGAATGGATATTTTTCTGTTGTTCATCAGGCACAGAGAGAGAAGATGCATAGTACACACTGCCTCTCCTCCCTGAATGTTGGAAGGTGAAAGGATTTCTTGAGACTCTTAATTTGAAGAAAGAAGAAAGTATAACCTCCAAGGAAAACAGGTTGTGTGTTTCCTATTGAGTCATCACAGGAAAACTCTTCTTGAAGCTCAAATTGAATTATAGCATTTTCTTCTGGGACAGATGATTCACTATCTTGTGTAACATTCAGAGGCGAGAAAAACACAATCTATAAAACAAGTGGGGGAAATGTTGCTATAACAGAATCATCTTTGATGTTCTTTCCTCTTGTCTTTCTAAATTATTTTTCATCTCTGCCTTAAGACTATAGATAGGAAATAACATCTGCATGAGGAATCAGAAAGTAAATATGAGTGCTGCCTTTACTATCAACATATTGGTTTTATTTTGGACAAGTCATCACCCTCTATTATCTCAAGTGCTTTATGGGAATGTAGAAGAGGACCTAATTCTGAGACAACCAGGAAATGCTTCACAGAGGAGGTGATATTTGATATCTGTCTTGATGGATGAGTAGGAATTGATCAGGCAAAAAGTTAAGTAAGATAGAAGTCAAAATCCAGGTAAAGGAAACAGTAGAAACAGTGCATACCAAAACACAAGGTTGTGATGCAACAGTGTGAGGGCAGATGGTTAGCAGTTATATGTTGTTGGACGGTCCAGTGTTACAAGCTGAATGTTTGTGTCCCTCCAAGCTGTTATGTTGAAATCTAGTCTCCAATGTGATGGCATTTAGAATCTTTGGGAGGCTATTAGATCATGAGGGTGGAGCATTCACAAATGGGATCAGTGCCCTTATGAAAGGGACCCCAAAGAGCTCCTTTGCCCTATCCTCAATGCAAGGGCACTGAGAAGACTGCCATCTGTGAACCAAGAAGCAGGTCCTCATCAGACTGAATCTCCCAGCACCTTGATCTTGGACTTCTCTGCTTCTGGAATTGTGAGAAATACTTTTTTTCAAGTTACTCAGTTTTTGGTATAGCAGCCCAACAGACTAAGACAGAAATTGGTACCAAGAAGTGGGAGTGCTGCTATATCAAATACCTAACAACGTAGAAACAGATTTGGACCTTGGTAATGGGTAGACGCTGGAAGAGTTTGAGGTACATGCTAGAAAAGGCTTATATTGCTGTTAATAGACCATTAAGGGCAATTCTGGTGAGAGCCCAGGAAAGAAAAAAGAGCTCTCCAGAAAGCTTCAGTCTTCTTTGAGAATACTTAAGTAATCCTGAACAAAGGTAGAAATATGGATGGTAAAGGTCATTCTGATGACAACTCAGACAGAAGTGAGGAATATGTTTCTGCAAATTGGAGGAAAGGTGATCTTGGCTATAAAGTATCAAAGAACTTTGCTGAATTGTGTTTGTGTTTTGTGGAAGATAGAACTTACAAGTAATGAAATTTAACTGGAAAAATTTGCTATTTCTAAGTCAAGTGTTGAAGGTTAGGCTTGGCTCCTACTGATCAGTTTGTAGTAAAATATGACGAGAGAAATGATTGAAAAATAAAATCGTAAGCAAAAAAACCACAGACTTCATAGTTGGGAAAATTATCAGTCTATTCATATTGCAAAAAATGAGAACATTACAAGTATGGCCAAATGACTGATTTGATAAGAAAATTAGTATGGATCAACCATCTCGACAGTAGCCAGAAGCTATTCTCCAAGGTAATAGAAAAATGACCCTAAAGGAGATTCAAAGATCATCAGGGCCGCCACTCCCACTACAGGTTCAGAGGGCACGGGTCCAGGAAGAATGGTTTCAAAGGCTGGCACTGGCCCTCTGGTTCAATATAGAACCAGGGTGCCTTGACCCAGTGCCCCATGGGTAGGAGCCCTGCAGAGAGCTACTGCACGGGCTGTGCCCAGAGGAGCCACGAGGATGTGGCTGCCTCTACCTAGGTTTCAAAACACAGAGCTTCTGGACCAAGCTGTGAGCTCAGGACCCCAAGCCAGTAGCGCCACTGGCATGGAATGCCAGCCTAGGAGAGCCACAGGGCCCAGAAAGAGAGTTTTTACTTTAGCCCCTTCCTGTGGAGCTGTGGGTGTGATGTTGCCACCCTAGTGTGTTTCTAAGTCAGAGAATCACCAAAAAGAATTATCCTTGAATCTTAAAGTTTTAGTTGTTTGCCTTTTTTAGGTTTTGGACTTAGGACCTGTCCTTTCTTCTGTCCTATTTCTTCCTTTGGCATGGGAATGTCTATCCTATGCCTGTCCCACCATTATATTTTGGAAGTTTGGTTTCATAGTGTGTTCGGTTTCGTAGGTTCACAGCTAGAGGGGAATTTTCTTAGGATGAGTCACATCTTGAATTTCATCCATCTCTGATTTAGATGGTATTTAGATGAGACTTGAGACTTAGACTTCAAAGTGGGAGCTGAAATAAGATAAGACTTTTGGGGCTATTGGGATGGAAATGATAACATGTATTTGGGGGTCAGGCAGAAATGGAATACTATAGGCTGAATGTGTCCCCTTTAAATTCGTATGTTGAAACTTAATCCCCAGTGTGATCATATTTGGAGATAGGATGTTTGGGAGGTGTTTAAATATGAGGGTGAGGCCCTCACAAATAGGATTAGTGCTCTTTTATAAAAGAGAGCCCAGAGAGCCAAGACCATTCAGTGGGGAAAAGGGTAGTCTCAGCAATGTTGCTGGAACACCAGATACCCACATGCAAAAGGATGAAGTTGGAGCCTTACCCTACACTGTATACAAAATTTAACTCAAAATAGGTCAAAGATATGACCCTAAAAGCTAAAACTTTAAAACTCATAGAAGAAAATATTGATGGAAATCTTCATGACATTGGGTTTGACAATGATTTCATGTGTATGACACTACAAGCACAGACAACAAAAGAAAAATAGGTTAGTTGGACCTCATCAAAATTTAGAGCTGTTCTGCATCAAAGGATACTGCCAAGAAAGAAAAGACAACATAGAGAATGGCAGAGAAAATTTGCAAATCATGTATCTAATGAGGGATTCATATCCAGAATATGTAAAGAACTCCTATAATTAAACAACAAAAATCATACAACTCAATTAAAAATGGGAAAAGGACTATAGTAGACATTTCTGAAAGAAGATATACACCTGGCCATTAGGTACATGAAAACATGCCCAACATCCCTAATCACTAGGAAATGCAAACCAAACACAATGAGATGCTACTTCATACCCATTAGGATGGCTATTATTAAAAAAAGAAAATAAAAAACATTGGCAAGGATGTAGAGAAATTCAAACTTCTTGGTAGAAATGTAAAATCATTCAGCCACCATCAAAAACAGTTTGGGAAGTTCTCAAAAGGTTAAATGTAGAACTACTGTATAGCCCAGGAATTACACTCTTAGGTATATATACAAAAGACTGAAAGCAAAGACTTGAACAGATATTTTCACACAAATGTCCCTAGCAGCATTATTTACAATAGCCAAAAGGTGCAAAAAACCTGTGTCCATCACTAGGTGAATGGCTAGAGAAAATGTGCTATATACATGAAGTGGACTACTATGCGTCCATAAAAGGAATGAAATTTTGAAAAGTGTTACAACATGAATGAACCTGGAAAACATGTTTAGTTAAATAAGACAGATGCAGAAGAGCAGATAATAATGATTCCACTTTTATGAATTATCTAGGATAGGCAATAGATAATAGAAAGTAGAAAGAGATGTAAAGTAGAATAAAGGTTTCCAGGAGCTGGCAGGAGGTAATTGAAGTTACTATTTTATGGCATAGAGTTTGTATTATGATAATGAAAACATTTTGGCATAGATAGTGGTGACAGTTAGACAGCATTATGAATGTATTTAATGCCACAGTGAATTGTACACATATAAAATATAAAATAGTATTTTAGGTATATTTTGTCACAAAAAAGATACTCTAAAGCTACAGAAATTAAGACAGTGTGGAATATGTGGAAGGATTGATGTCTAGATCAATGGACAACGTAAAATGTCCAAAAGAGACCTATAATTAAGAGGTCAGTTGATTTTCAAACAAAAGTGCCATGGGGGAAAACATTTTCATCATGTACTATTGGAACAGCTGCATATTTCCATGGTGGGATGAGGTGGAGGTGCAGGGGGCATGAACTTTTAACCTTATGTCACAACTATACATAATTGTTAACTCAAAATCTATTTTAGACCTGAACATAAAAGCTAAAACTATAGAACTACTACAATAAATAAAGGAGAAAATCTTTACAATCTTGGTGTAGAAAAGCTAACAGTCTTTGTTAGAATTCCTTAACAACTAACCATAAAAGAAAATAAATAATAAATTGCACTTAATCGTAAGTGTTATTTGATAGAAACTATTAAGAAAATGAACAGGCCAGCCAAAGCTGGGAAAAATATTAGCAATATATATCTATCTCAAAAAAGGACTTATATTAGCAATCAGGTTCATGAAACTCAATAAGATATACAGTACAATAAAAGTTGGCTAAAGATCTGAACAAACATCTCAAATATATATATATCTATATGCAACTATATACACACACACAAATGGACAATAAACACAGACTCTCATCATTTATTATCAGGGAAATGCAAATAAAAACCACAGTGAAGTGGCAGTACATACCCAGTTGAATGGCAAAATTATTAATACAAATGTAAATTGCAGGTGGTTGTGATTATATGGCACAACTGTATCTCTCATACTGCTGATGGGAATCCAACATGGGATAGCCACTTTTTGGAGAACGTTGGCATTTTCTTACAACATCCACCTGACATATGACCTAGCAATCAAATCGTAGATGCGACAATCCAAGAGAAATGGAAACATGTCCACATAACGATGTGAACTCAGATATTCATGACAAGCAAATGTCCATCAAGAAGTAAATGGATAAGCAAATTGTAGTGTGCCTTTATATAAAAGTGACAAACTACTGGTGCATCCAACAGCGTGGATGAGTCTCATAGATGTGTTGCTGACTGAAAGAAACCAGACACAGAGAGTACTTACTTACGATTCCATCTATATGAAGTTTATGCAAGTAAACATCAATCAAGGCGATGATGATGGTGACTGTAAAGAGGTTCCAGGGAGCCCTTTAGGGTGATAGGAATTCACTCTCTCTTGATTGTGTCAGTAGCTGAGCAGGTACATTACAATTTGTCGAAAGTCCTTGAATGATACACTTGAAGTGGGTGCATTTTATTGTTTGTAAACTATACTTCTATAAAGCTGATGTAAAAAACAGGAAAAAAAGTCTTCCTAACACAGAGCCTAGAGCTATTACTTGGGACTTAGAGAGCAGGCTGTGGAGCCACATTGAGTTCAAACCCTGATGTTATATGATACTGGGAAGGTTACTTTTTGCACTTTGGTTCTGTCATATGCAAAATAAGGATGTTTCAATAGTTTCGTTAAGGTTAAGTTGGTGCTAAGTGATTTTAACAGTGACTGACATAGTATTCAGTAAATGTAAACTATAAAGATTATTATAAATAACATGAGTATCACTGTTAAACATTTTTCTTGTCTTTTTCTCTGGTGAGGGAATTGTTTTACACACCCTTATGGCCCAGGTATAAGCTACTCATGTTACAGTAAATTGGGTTCCCATTAAGTCTGATTTTTCATATGTTTTGGTAGGAAATAAGGAACTTCGTGTGGAGAGATGACTGTGGGTAGCAAATAGGGTCAAAGAACTTTGCTGAATTGTGTTTGTGTTTTGTGGAAGATAGAACTTACAAGTAATGAAATTTAACTGGAAAAATTTGCTATTTCTAAGTCAAGTGTTGAAGGTTAGGCTTGGCTCCTACTGATCAGTTTGTAGTAAAATATGACGAGAGAAATGATTGAAAAATAAAATCGTAAGCAAAAAAACCACAGACTTCATAGTTGGGAAAATTATCAGTCTATTCATATTGCAAAAAATGAGAACATTACAAGTATGGCCAAATGACTGATTTGATAAGAAAATTAGTATGGATCAACCATCTCGACAGTAGCCAGAAGCTATTCTCCAAGGTAATAGAAAAATGACCCTAAAGGAGATTCAAAGATCATCAGGGCCGCCACTCCCACTACAGGTTCAGAGGGCACGGGTCCAGGAAGAATGGTTTCAAAGGCTGGCACTGGCCCTCTGGTTCAATATAGAACCAGGGTGCCTTGACCCAGTGCCCCATGGGTAGGAGCCCTGCAGAGAGCTACTGCACGGGCTGTGCCCAGAGGAGCCACGAGGATGTGGCTGCCTCTACCTAGGTTTCAAAACACAGAGCTTCTGGACCAAGCTGTGAGCTCAGGACCCCAAGCCAGTAGCGCCACTGGCATGGAATGCCAGCCTAGGAGAGCCACAGGGCCCAGAAAGAGAGTTTTTACTTTAGCCCCTTCCTGTGGAGCTGTGGGTGTGATGTTGCCACCCTAGTGTGTTTCTAAGTCAGAGAATCACCAAAAAGAATTATCCTTGAATCTTAAAGTTTTAGTTGTTTGCCTTTTTTAGGTTTTGGACTTAGGACCTGTCCTTTCTTCTGTCCTATTTCTTCCTTTGGCATGGGAATGTCTATCCTATGCCTGTCCCACCATTATATTTTGGAAGTTTGGTTTCATAGTGTGTTCGGTTTCGTAGGTTCACAGCTAGAGGGGAATTTTCTTAGGATGAGTCACATCTTGAATTTCATCCATCTCTGATTTAGATGGTATTTAGATGAGACTTGAGACTTAGACTTCAAAGTGGGAGCTGAAATAAGATAAGACTTTTGGGGCTATTGGGATGGAAATGATAACATGTATTTGGGGGTCAGGCAGAAATGGAATACTATAGGCTGAATGTGTCCCCTTTAAATTCGTATGTTGAAACTTAATCCCCAGTGTGATCATATTTGGAGATAGGATGTTTGGGAGGTGTTTAAATATGAGGGTGAGGCCCTCACAAATAGGATTAGTGCTCTTTTATAAAAGAGAGCCCAGAGAGCCAAGACCATTCAGTGGGGAAAAGGGTAGTCTCAGCAATGTTGCTGGAACACCAGATACCCACATGCAAAAGGATGAAGTTGGAGCCTTACCCTACACTGTATACAAAATTTAACTCAAAATAGGTCAAAGATATGACCCTAAAAGCTAAAACTTTAAAACTCATAGAAGAAAATATTGATGGAAATCTTCATGACATTGGGTTTGACAATGATTTCATGTGTATGACACTACAAGCACAGACAACAAAAGAAAAATAGGTTAGTTGGACCTCATCAAAATTTAGAGCTGTTCTGCATCAAAGGATACTGCCAAGAAAGAAAAGACAACATAGAGAATGGCAGAGAAAATTTGCAAATCATGTATCTAATGAGGGATTCATATCCAGAATATGTAAAGAACTCCTATAATTAAACAACAAAAATCATACAACTCAATTAAAAATGGGAAAAGGACTATAGTAGACATTTCTGAAAGAAGATATACACCTGGCCATTAGGTACATGAAAACATGCCCAACATCCCTAATCACTAGGAAATGCAAACCAAACACAATGAGATGCTACTTCATACCCATTAGGATGGCTATTATTAAAAAAAGAAAATAAAAAACATTGGCAAGGATGTAGAGAAATTCAAACTTCTTGGTAGAAATGTAAAATCATTCAGCCACCATCAAAAACAGTTTGGGAAGTTCTCAAAAGGTTAAATGTAGAACTACTGTATAGCCCAGGAATTACACTCTTAGGTATATATACAAAAGACTGAAAGCAAAGACTTGAACAGATATTTTCACACAAATGTCCCTAGCAGCATTATTTACAATAGCCAAAAGGTGCAAAAAACCTGTGTCCATCACTAGGTGAATGGCTAGAGAAAATGTGCTATATACATGAAGTGGACTACTATGCGTCCATAAAAGGAATGAAATTTTGAAAAGTGTTACAACATGAATGAACCTGGAAAACATGTTTAGTTAAATAAGACAGATGCAGAAGAGCAGATAATAATGATTCCACTTTTATGAATTATCTAGGATAGGCAATAGATAATAGAAAGTAGAAAGAGATGTAAAGTAGAATAAAGGTTTCCAGGAGCTGCAGGAGGTAATTGAAGTTACTATTTTATGGCATAGAGTTTGTATTATGATAATGAAAACATTTTGGCATAGATAGTGGTGACAGTTAGACAGCATTATGAATGTATTTAATGCCACAGTGAATTGTACACATATAAAATATAAAATAGTATTTTAGGTATATTTTGTCACAAAAAAGATACTCTAAAGCTACAGAAATTAAGACAGTGTGGAATATGTGGAAGGATTGATGTCTAGATCAATGGACAACGTAAAATGTCCAAAAGAGACCTATAATTAAGAGGTCAGTTGATTTTCAAACAAAAGTGCCATGGGGGAAAACATTTTCATCATGTACTATTGGAACAGCTGCATATTTCCATGGTGGGATGAGGTGGAGGTGCAGGGGGCATGAACTTTTAACCTTATGTCACAACTATACATAATTGTTAACTCAAAATCTATTTTAGACCTGAACATAAAAGCTAAAACTATAGAACTACTACAATAAATAAAGGAGAAAATCTTTACAATCTTGGTGTAGAAAAGCTAACAGTCTTTGTTAGAATTCCTTAACAACTAACCATAAAAGAAAATAAATAATAAATTGCACTTAATCGTAAGTGTTATTTGATAGAAACTATTAAGAAAATGAACAGGCCAGCCAAAGCTGGGAAAAATATTAGCAATATATATCTATCTCAAAAAAGGACTTATATTAGCAATCAGGTTCATGAAACTCAATAAGATATACAGTACAATAAAAGTTGGCTAAAGATCTGAACAAACATCTCAAATATATATATATCTATATGCAACTATATACACACACACAAATGGACAATAAACACAGACTCTCATCATTTATTATCAGGGAAATGCAAATAAAAACCACAGTGAAGTGGCAGTACATACCCAGTTGAATGGCAAAATTATTAATACAAATGTAAATTGCAGGTGGTTGTGATTATATGGCACAACTGTATCTCTCATACTGCTGATGGGAATCCAACATGGGATAGCCACTTTTTGGAGAACGTTGGCATTTTCTTACAACATCCACCTGACATATGACCTAGCAATCAAATCGTAGATGCGACAATCCAAGAGAAATGGAAACATGTCCACATAACGATGTGAACTCAGATATTCATGACAAGCAAATGTCCATCAAGAAGTAAATGGATAAGCAAATTGTAGTGTGCCTTTATATAAAAGTGACAAACTACTGGTGCATCCAACAGCGTGGATGAGTCTCATAGATGTGTTGCTGACTGAAAGAAACCAAACACAGAGAGTACTTACTTACGATTCCATCTATATGAAGTTTATGCAAGTAAACATCAATCAAGGCGATGACGATGGTGACTGTAAAGAGGTTCCAGGGAGCCCTTTAGGGTGATAGGAATTCACTCTCTCTTGATTGTGTCAGTAGCTGAGCAGGTACATTACAATTTGTCGAAAGTCCTTGAATGATACACTTGAAGTGGGTGCATTTTATTGTTTGTAAACTATACTTCTATAAAGCTGATGTAAAAAACAGGAAAAAAAGTCTTCCTAACACAGAGCCTAGAGCTATTACTTGGGACTTAGAGAGCAGGCTGTGGAGCCACATTGAGTTCAAACCCTGATGTTATATGATACTGGGAAGGTTACTTTTTGCACTTTGGTTCTGTCATATGCAAAATAAGGATGTTTCAATAGTTTCGTTAAGGTTAAGTTGGTGCTAAGTGATTTTAACAGTGACTGACATAGTATTCAGTAAATGTAAACTATAAAGATTATTATAAATAACATGAGTATCACTGTTAAACATTTTTCTTGTCTTTTTCTCTGGTGAGGGAATTGTTTTACACACCCTTATGGCCCAGGTATAAGCTACTCATGTTACAGTAAATTGGGTTCCCATTAAGTCTGATTTTTCATATGTTTTGGTAGGAAATAAGGAACTTCGTGTGGAGAGATGACTGTGGGTAGCAAATAGGGAGAGAAAAAGAAGCATAGTTGTGTCAAAGAGTGGAGAAGCCATCAATTTTAAGCTTGTCCCTCCTTGACTTTCCTAAACTTAGAAGTTTCTGTTCAGTATCTTCAAGTACTGCTCTGCCCATGAATAGGCCAGAGGTCACCTTGGAGTTCCCCACTAGGGGTCCATTCCCATAACAACACTAAACGCACCTCATTTGACCTTGTCCAGTGCTGGCTTCTGAAGGAGGCGATAGTCACAGAGATGCTGAGTTCTGCTATGCTGATGATCAGTGAGACTGACAAAATTCCCTGAAAATAATGAGATTAAATTTATGGCATTTGGAGTAAAAACTATATAATTTTAAAGATATAAGCCAAGCACCACTTAAACTGTATGAACAAGTATGGGAAAACCCGTATTTTAGATGTCCCTGTAGCCATCGGTGGTGGAACAATTTTCATTTTATATCTTTCTGATAAGCAGAGGTTAACAAACTGCAAGGCCTATAAGGGCCAGGTAAACATCCCAAATTAGTGAAACAATTAGGAGGGGAGACAGTAGAGAATGAAGGTATTTCTAGGATACATCCTTTACTTAGTTCCAGGCAATAGCTGCCCTGTGGGAATATGGGCCCCATGCTGCCTGGTCTTTTTTCTTTCCTAAGAAAGCTGGGTATACGTATTTCTAGTGTGAAGTTTTCCAGTTACTTATTCACTTGTATGAACCAAACCGAACATACGTACAGGCTGGATATATTCCACACATTGCCACTTTGCACACTCTGTTTTTAGGTAATATTTAGATCAAGAAGCAGCATGGAATAGCATGGTGTCCAAAAAGCTTAGACTGCAGAGACCAAAAGAGCTGGCTGCAGTTGGGTCCAAGGTCACACTTAACCTTGGACAAGTGATTGAGTCTTTGTGAATCTTAGTTTCCCTGCAACACGTCCAAAAGCTTGGATATTCTGTTTGTTGTTAAAACCACAGTGTGTGAAGTGCCTTGTAAATTTACAAATTTACTGGCTTCACCTGTTGAATGAGATAGACCTGGTCCTGGTCTTTGTGGAGTGTACATCATAGTAAGGGAGGCAGTAACAAATAATTAGGCAATTATCTACTTAACTTAAGGAATTAACTAAGTTGCGATAAGTGCTATGAAAAACTATTGGAAACTGTGCACTGTTGTCATGGGAGATATGACCAGGTCTGCACTGGGAGGGAGAGAGGTGAGATCCAGAAGGTTCTCCTCAAAGAAGTGGTGTTTAAAACAAAACAGAAACGGACTCATAAATATGGAGAACAAATTGGTGGTTGCCGTAGGGAGGGGGTGGAAGATGGGAAAAATAGATGAAGGGGATAAAGAAGTACAAATTCCCAACTATAAAATGTCACCAGGATGAAATGTACAGCATAGGGAATATAGTCAAGACTATTTAATAACTTTGTACAGTGACAGATGGTAACTATACTTATTGTAGTGAGCATTTCATAATATATATAATTGTCAATTTGTTATACACCTAAACTAGTCATAATACGCCTAAAGTCAACAATACTTTAATAAGAAAAAAAATCTTAAATAAAAAACATAAAAGAAAAAAAGAAGCAATATTTAAACTGAAATTAAGGAATAGTTACTTGGGTAGATAGAAAAGGTAGGCCCTGGGGTGGGGAACATTTGAAGCAAGAAAAGGCTGGTGTTATGGTCATGGGGCAGTGAGAATTTGACACACCAAGGATTCCAGGAAGTGGTAGGAGTGTGGAGTGAGAAGGATGAAGACCTGGGATAATGTTGGAAAGGTAGGCAGGATAGATGCTATAGGGTCTTGCAAGCTTTTTAAAATTTGACTTTTAATTTAAGGTTTAACATGAACCAATTGAGTAATGTGCTCAGATTTGCATTTTTAAGTGATGACTGGCTGCAGTGTAGAGTTCAGTCCAAGAGATGTCTAAAGCCCATTGTTCTGTCTTTTTTTAAAGCTTACTTATAACCTTAAGGTTACAGGAAGGAATCATGGAATTACAAAAGTGAGGTCTTGGGAGAGATTCACCAAAGATTCGGTATGTAGGAACTAATCCTGCGATCCCCATCCATGTAGGGCAGGAAGTAGTGGAGTTCCATTTAGCTGGAGATGAACCCTTTCAGTATATAATTTCTTCCTGGCATGTACTGACATAATGTACAGGGTGGTCTCCTGTCCAGTGGGTGGGTAAGGATTATAATGTCATCTCATATTCTTGGCCCAGTTAGGACACAATTTTGTGCCTTAGATTTTTTTCTGGCCTAGTAGCCTTTTTTTATGAGTCTTACTCTTAGAACTTATGGGAGCATCCTTAAGCTCACTTTAATGGGTGATCGTGAAGAATAAATAACATCTTGTATTGAGAAACTGATAGGTCTTTGCCTTTCCTTCTTATCAAGGGAGACAGTTTCCCATGATTCCATTTCACTTCCATCCAAACAGGTTACATCTCAGTAACACTCTAGAGCCAAAGCCTTCAAGATGTGGCTCCCAGAAATAGAATGAAGCCCCATATTTGCCTGGAGAATTAGAGGAAATTCTTTTTGCAATCATTGACATACATAGAAATAATGTCATTGAATGCTTGCTAGAAACTTAAAATTATACCTACAATTATATTTCCTAGTATATACATCTCATCTGCTGTAATGAATAAAATTCCTAGCTGGGTATAAAGTTATTTATACTCTAAAATGATTAAAATACTTTAGTAAATGGCTGAAACAGCTTCTCTCACTGTATTTTGGTTTGAGTATTGAGTAAACTCTTTAGATCCTTCTTTTCCTTATTAATGCCGAAAGGTAAACTTTAATTCAATCCACGTCAATACTAGTAGTAACTAAAACCTACTGAGTATTTACGCTGTGTCAGGTAGTGTTCTAATTTAATCCTCACAGCAACCCAACAAGTCAGTAACCTTATCATTTTCCACATGAGGAGAACTCAGGCTCAGATATAAGGTTAGGCCAAGGTCACAAGCTTATAAGTGACAAAGCCAGGATTCACAGCCAGACACTGTGTCTTCTGAATGACACCTGGAACTCCTCTCTTAGAGTGCTTAGCACAAAGGTAGTGACATTTCTGTGGAGTTATTTTACTGTTTCATTTCTTGACTTTGTATTAGATGACAACCCCCACCTAATTCTAAGAAGTGCAGTTCACCCCTTCTCTCTGAGAGGGCCTCATTTACCAGTACTCTTAGCACCCCACATACAGTATGTGCTCAGTAAATATCTTTTCAAAAATTGTTGAGTTTTACAAAACAGTATGCAGGAACCTCATTAGAATTCATGCATGCAAGTCACGCAAAACCACATTGGGAAAATTCTGTTGTGAAATGGGGAGTGAGGAGTTGTTCTGCTTGATTTTCTACAGTGTGGGATGTGCGGTTTGATAATCATATTCAATATTACATAATTCATATTTGGAAAACACTACTGCTTGTATTTGCAATGCAGGTTATGGAAAAGACATAGAATATTTATGTTTATCAAGAGGGAGGAGAGTTTTTTCATTATTTCATCCTTTGTTCATGGAATGATTCATTCACTTCATGCCCACTCTGTGTTAAGCATGATTCCTTGTTCTGTGAATGTAACAGCAACTAAAATACAATATACTTGTCCCCTTGGAAGGGCATGTTCTAGTGGAGGAAGCTCTAATGAGTCTACCCTCAGATACTGTGGCACAAGGTTAGGAACCCAGACTCTGGGGACTGGATGGAAATAGCACTGAACTAGGAATTATTTAACTAGGTGAGTGATGCTCATGAAATTGTCTCTTGGGATAATAAAGGGTCAAACCATCAAAATGATCCTAAAATTCTCAAGCTATGGGAATCTGCAATGCTGTGAAGTGCTAGCTAGATGTGTTTAAATTATTACCCATTCTGAAACTCAGTCTCCTTATCAGTGGAAGGAACTTAGTATATTTGCCCATCAAATCTCCCAGACTGGAAGGAACAAATGACTTGCTATACACAAAACTTAAACACTGTACCCTTTAGTGTAGTTATTACTATGATGATGGCAGTGCAGTGACCAAATGGGCCCATTTCTCTTGCCGTGGCAGGGCTGCCTACTCTCCTTGGGGACCCTATTCCTGGGGTCCATTGCCCCAGGACTTTGTGCAGTTCAAACCTGTTTTTACAATAATTTCCCTAAAGCTCCTAATGTACAGTACTCACAAAAAATGCTTCCCAGAGTGGATATCTGGTGAGGAAAACAAGGGGAAATCCTTGGGAGAAATGGAAGGAATTAAAAGCAAATATAGTTCCAATGCCCACAGTAACCAGGGCGAGTAGGATCTGACAGCCTGTGAGAAGAGAAATGGGTGCATGCACCGTCTCCGGTTCCCTGGGCATCCCGCTAAGCTTATGTCACCCTTCCCGCCTCCTGAATGCCTTCCTTGTCCATTTACCAGCCTCTCTCAGAGTTTCAGGGGACCCATATTTCTTTCCTCATTACACTTACCTGGTCCTTCAGGTTCGAATCCTTCACTCCATATGCTGTTCCCTGATATTATCCATTTATCTTATATCAGACTGATTGCAAGCTTCTTGAGGACAGACTATAAGCTGTTCAGCATTTTTTCCCCTGCCATAGTGCCAACATTCTGTTATTATCCCCACCCTGTATTTTCCACATTCAATATGTGCTTTTGGAATTGAGGCTCGGACCAGCCATCTAAAAGTTCATGAGGTTTGCTGACAAATGGAGAAACTGGGGTGAGGTTATGTCTCACCTCCCCTTCTCCCCAGAGCCTGACTGGAGCTGAGAGGAGCCCAGGGGGCTTCTCAGCCCATGAGGGGTCAGAGGGAGAGGGATGCGGCAGCTTTTCTCAGGACAGAGCTGCCCCTCAAAGCATCCTGGGGTTTCTCCCCAGGCCACACCTCTCTGGCACCGCCCCTCAAGTAGAGAATTAAACTAAGGATGTACTAAAGATGAAGGCTATCTGCACAGCTCCCCTCATGTGAGTTCTTAGCACTGAGCCCTTAGTGATTACTTTGTACTAGAATTACTAGATTACTTTGACTGTACAGAACTGCAGTCACTGAGTCATAGTGTCTTAGAATTCTAGAGCATAATCCAGCCCCCTGTCTTCCCAGTTATCTAGAAGACTCAACTTTCTTGTCAATTTGTTTACAGACGGTAGACACAAAATAAGTAGATGCCATATGTAAGATCAAATCCCAGTATCTACATTCATGAGCTATAAGGGAACTTACGGGATACCTGCTATATCCAGGCACTGTAGAAGGTGTTTTGTTTTAACTTGTATTAACAGTGTTCTTTTAACAGTTCTACACTTCTGAAACTTAGGTAAAGAAAGGCTAAGTTGCCCAATGTTACTACATACTAAGGGACAGGGAAAGGAATTAAACCCCACTGTCTCCAATATCCTTGTTGTTTCTACTCAGCCATGCTTCCACATGCTTTTGAAAGGAGTTTCCCACTTGTAGTTGATGAGTTGTCTCCCTTACTATTTAACCATATTCTTCTATAGATTAAAAATCAGTCACTAAGAAGGTATAGGACCAGATGTAGTTGCCACTTTAGTGGAGCAGATTTTGCCTTTCAGAAAGACAAGTAGAACTAATTCTATTCAAGGCCTTCCTGATTTAAACTATACAAATACAAGTAAAACAACCTAAGAAGCCATTTAAAATTTTGCCTTCCATGTTAATCCTTATATCCTGTATTGGTTATGATTTAAGCTCTCAAATCATAAAGGCAAAAGGTCTCACAAAGCCAAAAAATATGTGCAAATATTACCTTGAGTATTTACTAGTTTGTGGTAACCGTGGCTAGCAGGGTTTCTCGGCCTCGGCACTGCTGGCACTTGGGGCCTGATAGTCCTTTGCTACAGGGAGTTGTTCTGTGTGCTGTAGGGTATCTGTCAGCGTCTTTGACCTCCAGCCATTACATACTAGCAGCACACCCCAGCTGTAACAACCCAAAGTGTCTCCAGACATTGCCAAATGGCCCCAGGGTGGAGGTGGGGGGCAAAGGCCAAATCATTCCAGGTTGAGAAGCACGGATGTATAGAAAGAATTGCAGACTGTGTCCTCTGTTAATTTTTCCTGATAGAATGCCTCTTTGTTTTTCACATCCAAATTCAGAGAAGGTATGTGTTTCTCAGTACAACATTTTCCTCCTGCCCATGTTTATCCAGGTGAATTTTAAATTATGTACCTAAAGTGCAACACAACATTTTCAACAAAACAATGTGTGGGACACGTCTGTATTTAAACTCTAAGCAGAACTGATAGGCCCTCAGAATCTTGTGAAGAAGTTTTGAAAAGCATGGTATGTCAGTAAAAGGGAAGGGCACTTGAGATGGTGCTGACACTGTTGCAGCCACAGACTGCAAAGGGTGTCCGCCACCTTGAAATTGATGAAGGGAAACCTCACTGACATGGCGTCAGGGGCCAGCAGGGGGAGCTAATCGCAGACCCCTACCCTGGAGGAGAAGAAAGATTTCTGCCTTCTGCCCTAGCAAAAGCCCAGCCAAAGGAGGAGACTGTCACAACTCAGCCAATGACAAGCCATGATATGTGAGACTCCCAATTTCCTCCAATGAACTTTTTGCTTAGAACAGCCCTTCCAACTTGGCCCTTTTCCTCTATAATAAAAGAACATTTCTCTCCCTTGTTCTCTGGACTTGCCTGCGGTTTTGCTGTAGCTTGCTTCTCCTGAATTGCAATTCTTTGCTATTCCCGAATATACCCCTTTTTGCTGGTTAAACAACTGACTTTCATTTTTTAAGGTTAACGTTACCAACCATTGTGATTATTTGGTAATGAAAGAATTGAAATATTTTGAGCATTTAAAACCTAACACGTTAATTTACTGCTCATATATAGATGTTTTATTGCCTTTTACTTAAGTTTTAGGGAATTGGATGGAGTTTGGGTTGACTAATATATAGCTTTTTTTCCTTTTAAAATGGTGGTAAAAACTGTCTTCATGCAGAATACCTGATTTTTAGGAGTTCATTGCTGATGTTAAGCAGGAGAAGCTTATAAGCCTATCTGCCTTGGTCATTTCAAAATGCATCTCATTTTAATGTTTCAGCTAGGTTATAGTTGTCAGCCTCTCCCTTTTCCCCGTTTTTGACTTTCCAGCATCTTAAAGATGGAAACTCTAATACTGCAATCTGTGGACTCAGACCAGAAGGCAAGAATAGGCTAATGCCGTGAAGAGGTGAAATGGCAGAATCCTTGTGGGGCTACAGTCTTCTTGAGTGGAAATGATATTCCCTCTTTCTTTCTCCCTGCAGAAGACCACTGTTCCTTGAGTTTGGCAAATAACATAGAGCATTTAGCATGTATCAACACTGCTCTAAATAAAATGAGACATTTAATATTTCATTAAATTCATCCTTCTGCATGTGCTACCATGTCACTCTCCCCAAACCCTTGGGAGATAGGTTCTATTATCACATCCATTTTAAAGATGAGGAAACTGAAGAGCAGCTACTGCTGGTAAGTGGGGGAGCTGAAATTTGAACTTGGCTTTTCCACTTGCATTTTCCACCCAACAGTTCAGGGTGTATGAGTTTTCTATTGCTACATAACTTACCACAAATTCAGTTACTGAAAACAACACGTTTGTAACCTTTTAGTTCCTGTGGGTCAGGAGTTGAGGCTTGGCCCAGCTGGTGCCTCCTGATCCCACGTGGCTGCAGTCAAGGTTTCAGCCAGGCTGCATTTTCATCTGGAGGCTCAGCTAGAGAAAACTCACTTCCAAGCACATTCAGGTTGTTGTCAGATTTATTTCCTTGGGGTTGTATGACTAAGAGCTCTGGGTCTTGCTGGCTGGGAGGCAGAGGCTGCCGTCAGATCCCTCAGGCCTTTGCTTCCTTGACATGGCTGCTCACATCTGGCCAACAAGGAGAATTCTTCACCTGAGTTGGCTAAGATGGGAGGAAGGACTGGAGAGTTTGTGGTAAGGGTCTGAGTATGTGTGGCCCAGTCCCTCATGTTGCGCTACCTTTTTGGAGAAACTGCAGTTTTTGTTTTTGTTTTTTGTAATCAAGAGTGAGAATGCAGTTTTACTGTGTATGCCAATATCTGCAGTGTCTGCTTGGACTTGGTTGAAACCATTCATTCCTGCGCTTACTGTGAGCTTATTAGACCTTCCCTTGTGGTTCTTGCCTGATTTGTTTCCCAAAGTGCATGTGGTAGTGAGGCAAAGGAGAGTCAAGAATGATTCCCAAATTTATGACTTTAGAAATTGAGTGGATTGTCATGCCATTTATGAAAGATGACCAGTTTGGGGTTCGGGAGATGGGGTCAAGGAGAGGTACAAATGAAAATGCAATGTCCTTAGCACACCATCTATCAGTTTGGAATATTAGTCCAGATAATTCTGAATCTATTCCAGATAATGCTATTTGGAATATTATTTCAGATAATTCTAGATATATTTCTCCACATATCCTGAAGAATATGTCTATTAACAGCAAAAAAACAAATGTAAGAAACAGATGCTGGATAAAATATAATTTTATTGCATTGCTTAATTTATGGAATTGGAATAAGGAGAAATCTCTGAGATCCTCCATCCCCATTTTTAAATAGTAATACACATGTGCACATTGGAAAACACATAAATAGGAGCTGAAAATCTCAGTGTGTAGTAGTAGGGGTCCTAATGTAGTTTACTGAGTAGTGCGTGTAGACATACAATTAACAAACAAAATAAAATATATAATGTCACTGGTAGTAAGGGTTATGGAGGAAAAAGAAGCAAGGATTGGGAAAGAGGGTTATAATTTTATGTAGGTTGGTGGTAGAAACTTTCATTGAGGCTGAGAGATTTGAAAAAAGACCTGAAAGCAATGGAACTAATTGTAAAAAAAAAAATGCATTGCAGATAGACGGGCCTGCAAGTGTAAAATTCCCGAAGAAAGACTATGTCAAGTGACAGCAAAGGACCCAACGTTACTGGAGCAGAGGGAGAAAGGGAGCGTAGTCAGAAGACCCCAGAGGAAATGAGAGTTGAGATCCTGTAAGGGCAGTTAAGGACACTGGCTTTCATTTGGAATGAAATGGAATGGGTTTGAGCAGGGGAGTGACATGGTCTGATCTCAGGTTTAAGGAAACCCTGCCATCTGCTGTGGAGAGTGATTGAGTGGGGGATACTCGGTGGGCTGCTCACTGCAATCATGCCAGTGGAAACAATGGACCCCAGTACTTGCAAGTGGTGAGACGTAGTCAGACTCCATCTGTTTTGAAGTTAGAACTAGCAGGTTTTAACGACGAATTAGATAAAGTATGTAAAAGAAATAAGAGCATCAAGGATGACTCCAATGTTTTTGGGAGATGATGTTTTAAAGGAATTTGGCTATGGAGAAGTGAGAGATGGCTCAATAACTAGACGGGCACAAGAGGTCAAAAGTAACTTTTTAAAAAAACGTTTTTATTCAATTATAACATAGAACCAAGAGAACAGAAGTCATCTATATGCAGTATCAAGGATTGGGAAAGAGGGTTATAATTTTATGTAGGTTGGTGGTAGAAACTTTCATTGAGGCTGAGAGATTTGAAAAAAGACCTGAAAGCAATGGAACTAATTGTAAAAAAAAAAATGCATTGCAGATAGACGGGCCTGCAAGTGTAAAATTCCCGAAGAAAGACTATGTCAAGTGACAGCAAAGGACCCAACGTTGCTGGAGCAGAGGGAGAAAGGGAGCGTAGTCAGAAGACCCCAGAGGAAATGAGAGTTGAGATCCTGTAAGGGCAGTTAAGGACACTGGCTTTCATTTGGAATGAAATGGAATGGGTTTGAGCAGGGGAGTGACATGGTCTGATCTCAGGTTTAAGGAAACCCTGCCATCTGCTGTGGAGAGTGATTGAGTGGGGGATACTCGGTGGGCTGCTCACTGCAATCATGCCAGTGGAAACAATGGACCCCAGTACTTGCAAGTGGTGAGACGTAGTCAGACTCCATCTGTTTTGAAGTTAGAACTAGCAGGTTTTAACGACGAATTAGATAAAGTATGTAAAAGAAATAAGAGCATCAAGGATGACTCCAATGTTTTTGGGAGATGATGTTTTAAAGGAATTTGGCTATGGAGAAGTGAGAGATGGCTCAATAACTAGACGGGCACAAGAGGTCAAAAGTAACTTTTTAAAAAAACGTTTTTATTCAATTATAACATAGAACCAAGAGAACAGAAGTCATCTATATGCAGTAACAGCATCCAGATCAAGGAAAAGAATATTTCCAGGAACTTTTAGGCCTTCTGGGTCCCTTCCAGTCACCACCCCCAAAGGTAATTGCTATCCTGATTCTGATACTATATATTTTGCTTGTGTTTAAACTCTACTTTATGTATATGGAATCACAGAGCATGTGCATTTTTAATACACGACTATTTACCCCCTGAACATTATGCTTGTGGGATTTATCTCTATGGCTGCATGTAATTGTAGTCTGTCCACTCACTATGCCATTGTCTGAATATGCTACAAGTCTTACTTGTCTCTTCTACTGTTTATAGGCATTTAGGGTAGTTTCCTTTTGGGGACTGTTATATATACTTGTATGACTATTTCTGTACATGTCATTTGGAAAATATACATATTTGTTTCTGTTACACATTCCCCTCTGGCATAGGACCCAAGGCTTAGACCCAGGGGGCAATATTAGGAACCTCTTTATTGGGTAGGTTGTGTGCTCTTTATTCCAATACAGGAATAAATTTGATATTATTTTTATATGTCTAATAACTCATTTGGTCTAAACTGAGATGGCAGAGAGAGCATTGTGGTTAATTTTAATCTTTGAATCCAGATATTTAAGAATAAAGTCATTAAATGAGATAGAATATTAAGCCATATTTAATTGACAAAAATTCAGTTCCTTCAATTGACAGAAATGGAGTCATAAATTTAAAAAATATTTTTAATGAAAATATTCTTGCAATCCCTCATATCTAATCCTAATGCAATATAAATGTGACAATAATGCAGAAACAGGGCCTGCATGGCCCCACAACTTAGCTAGGTCATAGGAACATAGAGTACACATTTTCTCCTCTTATTTATAGATAGATAAATCATTTTCTGATAGTTTACCCAGAGAAGTTTATAAAGTTTATGGCCATCTTGGAAGACTCACTAATAATATTTTACTAATGTGGGCTTTTGGGAAATTATTTTCAATAGCAATAAACTTACTCATAGTGAGCAAGTGTGAAACAAAAGCTATTTTGGAAAGTTTCCTTCAGTATCTAAAGTAGGTGACATGTCAGGAAGGTCTAATCACACTTTATCATAATCACTGAGTTGCTCCTTTTTCTTCCAAAGCCAAGAATTACTCATATCCATGACCTTGTAGAATTCTTTTTGACATGTTGTATATGATCTTGTGACTGAAGCAAGGGAAATGCACTCTACGAAAGATAAAATTTGTTAGTAGCTCTTTGGAGGAGACTTTTTTGGTACATATTGATAATTCACTCCTCCCAAATGTATAGTCATAGCTCTTCCAATTACCATAATATGTAATTGCATCAATATGAGTTCAAATGCCATTCTACAATCTGCTAATCACGTTACCATTTCCTAATAAGATCAAAATTGAATCATAATTTATTCAGCCTCCCCCCACCTTTTTTTACTATAGCTTTTGATATATAAAAATATTTAAAAATCATAATGTCAAGCCCTCAGAGAGAGTAGGGAAGAACACAGGAAAGCATAAATAGAACAGAGGTGTTTTAGTCAAATCCCATCACATTGCAAGGCAACTGGGCTGTGGGGACTCTCCAGGGAGGCAGGTGGCTGTGTTCATGACAGGAGGGAAAGGTGTAGACCCTCATGCTCAGCCTCTTGGTCCGTGTCATTCATTGTCCCTGGGATTTTACCTAAGCCTTGGCTCTTTTACAAGGAGTTGGGGCAGGTGATTTCTGAAGCCAGCTAGCTTCATGTGAAGCAATTCTCTGACTGATTTGCTGCCCAGTAGGCACCAGCTGATTTCAGATGATCAGCGTGTCATCATGAAGGAGCCTATTCATTGAACTCTTCTCCGACTATAAATGTCAACTTCCATATGTACCTTATGCCCAATAATTGACTCCTCTTTCTGCCACTCCTTAGACCTTGCTCATCATCACTCAAATCTTGGGACCCAGCAGGTACCATGTGACATTTCAGAGTACTTACGCCAGGGTTGTTAGAGTAGACCTGTTTCCACCAAAGGACAAAAGTGAATGCAGCTTGTAAGAGCTCCAGCACAGTGAAGATAAACATCACCACCAGCACACCCTGTAAATCAGGACAGGGGGGTTGGTGCCACACACTAGACAAGAGGCTGGGGGTGAAGGCTCTAGCAAAGCAGAGAATAAGGGACAGAGTACACTGTGTAATTCTCTGTTCTGCTTCCTCTTTCGGATCTCCTAACAGGTTAAGGGAAATAAGCAATACTAGTTTCATCTCAGAACCTTGGTATCCCACATTCTGAGATAGCATCCTTCATTTATCTCTAGTTGCTTTTATTATTTTCTTTTTTCTTTGGGGTTTTTATTGTTGTGATGTTTCTCAGTGTGGATTTATTTCTGTTCTTGCCGTGGTCTCAGTGCCTTCCTTCAGACTGAAATCTTATGATGTTTTTAATTCTGAAAAATTCTCAGTTATTTCTGTTGGTCTGCCCCTTCTCCTATGCTGGTCTACTGGAACACATATTAGGTGGGGGTTAAACTTTTTCACTTCGCTGTATTCTCTGTCTTCCCACCTCTCATTCATGTTTTCCAGATTTTCATTTTCGTGTGTTGTGTTCTATGTAATGTAATCAGCCCTAAATTTCATGTCACTCTTAATTTCTTTGGATGTGTTGAATCTTCTAGTTAACCGATATACCAGATTTTCAATTTCAAAGATTACAAATTCTCATTTCTAGTCATTCTATGTAGTCCTTTTTCAAACCCACCTTTTTCCTTCCTGTCATGTTCTTTCATATTAGTTTCAATTCCTTTTTTGAATCTATTATTTAAAATACTTTTTCATTATAAATCTTTGAAAAATGATTGCATAATCTCCAGTATTTGGGCAACTAACTTTCATGTTTGTTCCATGTGCTGCTGTTCCCCATCTTTTTTCTTATGTTTTTCAAAATATTTCTATTCTTAGGTAACTTCAAAGTGTGGGTGGTGGAGGGAGATTCTTTGACATGTAGGAGATTCCTAAGCTGGGTTAATGGATGTCTCCCTGGATGGTAGTTTTAGGTTTGCTTCTGATAGAACCTTAGGAGTTTCACAGATCCAGGAATAGTTTTAAGTTAACCCTTTTATTTGAGATTCTTCTATTTTACATGTAATTTTGGATTTGGATACCATTCCTGAACCAGGCGTGGTGAGATAATTTCATCCTGGAAACCTTTATGGCAGAGTTTCTTAAAGCCTCTTGGGGTATTAGGCAGAGGGCCCCTTGTCTTAATAAACAGGGAGCATATCCAGTGTCAGACCGTAACATTTTTGTAGGGCCCTCAGTGGGCACTCCCTGCTTCCTGTGGGTCAAGAACCTCAGACCCCAGCCGCTAGCATCTGTGTTCCTACCCAGGCCTCCCTGGTTTTCTGGTCTCAGCTCCCGTTTGGTTTCCTGGCTTTAGGATCCTTCACAGTTTTTAGAACCTAAGATGTCTTTCTTCCTCGATATTTTTCCTTCCTTCTTACAATGTTACATATATATGTCTGATTTTTCGATGTGTTACTTTTGCCCGGGTCGTCTGTGTGTCAGTCAATAAAGAGAGTGGACCTTCGGAGCCTGCTTAGTCTGCCTTGTTGCAACTTCTCCAGTGTCACAGGAATTTTTCTTTGGCTCCAGGTAACTGAGCGTGGGAGGCAGTTTGATGTGTATCGAGATTAGTTATCATCATATTAAACCGCGAAGAGCCAATGGGGAAGATGCCTTATGCACTCCTTTGCCAGACGCCTGCCTGCACCCGGGTTATTCTGTCTCCTGGGCATCTTTCATGCTGATTTCCAACCAGATGGGTCTCTGTGCTCCTCCACTTCCTCAAGCTCCTGTATCAAAGGGTTGCTTTTGACAACCTTTGAGTCACACAGGAGACTCACGGAAGGCTGTGAGTCCAGAAACTTGCATGCATCCTCTGAGATTCATGAGACAGATAGATCCAAGGGAATGAAAGATACGGCCTTTGTTTCCCCAGCTCCTAGGAGGCAGTGTCACAAGGGAATAGATCTTTCTCCTAAAGGGCCAACATTTATGCATTTGGCCTATGTATAGAGGATTGACTAAGCCAGGATTGTTCCCATCAACAGGTGGTGACCATCAAGTTTGGGGGAAAGGTGCCAAGAAAATGCTGCCCAGAGATGTTGGCATTTCTGCTTGAAGTTGAATCCCCATCTCTCTGGCAGCCCAGCTGAGTCAAAAAATAATAATTATGTGTTTGGATTTAAGATTCAAGTTCTGTACCTAGCACCCTCCTCAATTTCCTTTTTTTAACTGCATAAACATCTCCCATATTATGCAATCTGCTGATGGGCCTCTTTCAATCAGACATTTTTTTCTCTGTTTCCAGACATTCAGACCAACAGGACTAGAAACTGCTGAACAAGTATAGATTATGCAAAGGAGAGACACTGAGATTTCACATGACAGGATGTTAAATCTGAAACTACTTACTATTAGACTGACACTGGCCAGGACACAGTCCTTGACTTCGTGTGTTGAATAATAATACCCCGAATAAGGCAGTAAGGATAGAGAGTCCTTTTCTGAGCCACACTGCTGAGAGGCAGTCCAGAGGGCTACGAGGCTGTCAGTGAGGAGGAAGAGGCCCACTCCAGCGACAACAGCACTCACTGCATTTGTGATCAGGCTGCTCATGGCCTGCAAGAGAAATTCTGCATTGGGATCTCACCACAGAAGCAGCATGTGATGCTGTTAACCCTCCATGCATTGCAGTGGTGCTTTCCTGAGTCCGTTTCCCCTCTAATCTGCATATTCCTATGGGGCACAGACTGTTTTATTCTTCCCTTCTCACTGTCAAGTCTATCACCTGCTGTAAGTAGTGAGTATTTGTTGAATGAGAGAATGTATTAATACTCCTGCTTAGGGGGAATGTTCTGGCTCCTTGATGCTCTGCAGCACTGGAGATAGAGGTGGTACTGCTCATGCCACTGCCAGTATCTCCCTTGACTTTCTCAGCAGCCATAAAGTCATTTTATTGATTTCAGGGCTTCTGGAATATGACCTTTGGCCCCTCCTGGAAAGATGGCGTTATTGCTCCTCTTTCCATAGAGAAGCAGCTTCAGAACAAAGGCAGAAGCAAACTGGGGAGGTTGGGATGCCCACCTAAAGGTGAAGCAGGCCTATGAGAGCCACGTTCACCTCCTTCTCGTCTGGGTCACATTCTACATTTTGGGGGAAAGAGCTCTCATAGGATATGATTCATCTGCAAAGACACTGATGTGCCAGGCTCTGTGTCAGGTTCCCAGCACGTGCTCTTTTCTGTTTGAACATTGTCTTAAGATACTCTGTGTTGGGGAGGATGGTTGCCCTGCCCTCGCCGCCCTAGCCCAGTAGCTGCATAACTTCCAGTGCTGAGTCCCTGAAGGAGGAGCAGACTGAATGGGCAGTGCCTTTGCACAGACCTGCCGTGTGGGAATGGAGCCCCATGGTGTCTGTGTCCCGTATGCAGAGCCCACCTTGGGTCAGGTCATCCCAAGGTCAGTTTCCCTCTCAGTGCACTTAGGGCTCTTGGGAGGCCATTGCTTGGGATCCACGTGTTCATCTTCCACATTTTATAAATGTAGCCCAGAGGAGGAAAGAACATTTTCAGGCACACAGATGGGTCAGTGACAGAGCTGGGATGGGACAATGGTCTTCCCGATTCCATAATCTGACTCCATCCAAGGCTGTGAACTCTTCAAAATCCTGTGCACTAGTTCTGGGGTTTAGACTCTGGCCTCAAGGTTCAGGAACGTATGCCAGCTTCATACACCACCTCACATGCCCTCATCCATGCCTAACCAGACCCTGGGTCTTCCCAAGTCAGGAAGTGGCTTTCCCTAAGTCATCTCTGTGGGTGCGCAGCAGGGGAGAGGATCAAAGACCTCAGCTGCTTCCCCCTGCTGACTCCTGGGACCTTTGTCAGGGAAGTGGCTACCCTCTGAGCATTTCTTATTTCGGAGTGGGTAGAGGAGATATCTACAGTATGTAATCCCATACACTTCTGCCTCTGATCCTGCAATTTATAGAGAAACTGAATCATTATGAGGCAGGATTTTCTAGAAAAAGGATCTCCAGGCTCTAGCTGGGATGGTCTTCTGCCCTATTCAGGGCAAAGATAACAAGTTGTAAAGAATCCATGGAATATTTAAACATTTCCACTGCTTAAGCAACTGAGGTGAACCTCCTCCAAGCCTGGAATGTGACCCAGGAGCATCCCTGTGCAGAGGAAAGGGTGCTGGTCCGGAAGGCAGGAAATCCTGGCTTTCCTCTTGGTTCAGCCAACAGACCGGTGGTAAGAACTCCTGCTCTGAGTCCTATTTCCCTGAACTCTCAAATGGAGATTTTGAACCAGAAGAATTAACTCGGAAGTTCCTTTTATTCCAATCAGCTATTGATTATTCTTATACTTACAAAGGGCTTAGCTGCTTTTTTCCCAGAGATAATTGAGAGAGATCCAGTAATGGCAAACTGCTCAGAAAAGAGAGAAATTGTCAGTTCAGTTTTCTTGTGGAAGTGTGGCCACCATGTTATTGTCAATCACTCAATCAATCAATGATGTAAAACTTTTAGGGGCATAACACTGCGGGAATGGTGTGGGCCCATATTGATGGAGGCCTGATTTCTGCCCGTGGGAGGCTTACATGGACTTTGAAGAGCAGATGCACAGAGGGGCTGGTTTTACGTTGGTGAGAATCACTACGAGCTGAGAAGGCCTGGAGAGAGAGTGTGCGTGGAGGGAAGAGAACATAGCTAAATTGCAAGGGTGGAAGAGAAGAGTTTTGACTTAAAGGGAGAGCGAGTTGGGAGCAGTCAACAGAAGCACTTAGGAAACGGGCCCTGGAGGCTTAAGGTGCAGAAACAGATGGGCTTCCAGCCAGTGGTGTCGGTGGCCTGCTGTAGACAGGAAGTTGAGGAAAGTGGGAAGTACAGAGTCATATGTAAAGATTCTTTAGTCATAAAGGCCAGAGGTCAGTATGTGACCCCAGTGGTGTGTAGGATCCAGCTGGTGGAGGGAGGATGCTCTGAGAAGTGGGAATACTGATTAAGCTTGTGGTTTAGGGATTAGGGAGTCACCGGTGAAGAGGGTCCAGTCTGAGCTAATTCATCTTTCACAGGGGAATGTGGGAGCCACACCTACTGGTTAGATAGAGAAGTCAAGGACAGAGGATGCTTTTGGGGCAGGAGCAGGGCCTCCGGGCATCACTGCATAGCTTGTATCCACACAAGGACTGTATCCATACAGAGGTGGTGCCTTGGTAAAATTTGCCCAGAATTTTTCTCCTTTGTACAGGATATACTACATGGAAAAGAACTGGCACTTTGTAGAAGGCATATGGAGGCCTCGGATGGTCTCCAAATAAAAGGGTCCACTAGGCCCTTTTTCATGGGTCCTTAGATGGAAGGCAGCCAAAAAGTCTTCCAAATGCTCAAAATTTGCCTCTGAACACATAGCAGGAGTGCCGCTTCTTCCCATGAATTTTACCGTTGCTACTTTAATTCTCTGAAAAGCTCATGGCATCTACCAGTAGTGCTGATAGTATTTTTTAAATGACCTTTTGCTCTCTGCCTGACAGGTGGATCACCCTTAAACTGGAGGGAATCCAATGGCCTCATCAAAGGTCCAAAGAAGGATGTAAAAAATCTTCCACTTTCCAGAGGTAGGCTGTACAGCCAGGTAAGCAATGCCCTTGCCTCTTGCCCCAGCCAGCCGAGCACGCTCACAGATGGGGATGGATTAAACTCCCCTGCGGCTCTCCTGAATTGGAGAGACAGATGTGGGACAATAACAGAGGGAAGGTTGGACGCCGTGGCCTTCTCCCTTCTCCCCACCTCATGGGACTGGGTCACCCCATGACTTAGCACCCAGTTAGCATTTAGAAAATATTTCCTCTTGGAGACCCCGCTTTACTCACACACACAGCTCCTACAAATGGGTACTCAGACATCAGAACGGTGGAAACTGCTGGCTTGAAGTGGGGGGAATAGGGAGCAGAAACCAGAATGGCCCCCATACTTGAAATCATCAGGCAACACAGAATCTGGATAATCTGCAAGAGATAAAAGAGAGCATCTAGAACACACTTTAAAAGATGAAAGTGATTCTTTGAATACACATTGTGAATTATAAAGAATATGAGAGTGTTAAAATTTGTCATACTGAAAAGGAAAAGAAAATGCAAGGAGGCGAAAGACATTTTCTAAGATAAAGCCATGTGTAACTTTCTTCTCGGATTTGTGAAGCTAGCAAATCAAAGAGTGATCGTATGCACATTTTAACTTTATTTTGAGAAAGGTAGTTGGCAATGTTTTTTTTGTTGTTGTTGTTGTAGGAAAAATAGATGGAGAAAATTTTCTGGGCAGCAGCCCAGTTAGATAGATATTGAAAGCCAGGGAGTGTTTAAAAAAGACTCAATTCCAATTGAAAAAGAATAGAGCAGGAAGTCTTTAGTGCCTTAATTCATCTTATCTTATTCATCATTGGATTTTTAATTATAATTACCATTTTTATGACACCAATGATAATAATATAGTCTGCATTTATTTGATACTTTCTACGTTCTGGTTATTTATGTCATTTATGAATGAGAAAAACTTTAAATTAACTTGTATAAACCCACAGAAATGGCCAAGTGGAAGAGCTAGGATTTCCACCACAGCCCTCAGTCTTACTTGCTGTTACACATATGTAAAGATCATGCACACGCAGAAGTGACTTAAAGAACATACAACCATTCATACAATTAGTATTTATTGAATATCTATTGTGTGCCAGCCATTGGGGGAATAACACAAATGAAAATCACTGCCATTGGACATGCATTATGTCCTTTACAGGTAAGTTCCTTAGAAAGTAGAATGAGTTAAGAGCAAAGTCATAGAAAAGGAGGCCTGAGAAGTACTGGGAACCTGGTGCAAACTCTGTAGGGCTTTGTAGGCTACTTGACCAACTTTGTCTCTTATCCTGAGTAAGAAGGGAAGTCCATTGGATAATTTTGAGTGAAAAGAGTTACATGATATAAGTTGATATTTTTGAACGATCATTCTGCTTGATATGGTGAGAAGATATTGGAAGTAAACAAAGCAGGGGATCAATAAGAAGGTCATTGCAATAATTCCCATGAGAGATGATGTTGGTTTGAAAGCTGTTGATGGTAGAGGTACTGAGAAGTAGTTGGATTCTAGATGTCCTATGAAGGTTAAAGCTACAGTATTTGCTGGCAGTTTGAATGTAGGTTATGGAAGAGAGGAATGAAGGTTGCCTCCAAAGGTTTTGACTTAAGCATCTGAAATAATGGCGTTGACATTGATCTGATATGGGGGCTATTGTATGAGGAGTGCGTTTGGGGAGGAACATCAGGATTTCAGTCTGGGATAGGTTAAGGGAGAGATCTCTAGTAGATATCCAAGTGGAGATGCACACAGGCTGTTAGATTATACGAGTCTCAGGTTTGAAGGAGAGATCCAGGCAAAGGACATATTCTTTTTTTTCCAAATCCTAAGTGGGGATAATATTTAAAGCCATATGACTGGATGAGGACACCATTGCAGCAGATATAGAAAGAGAATGGGATCAAGGATGAAGTTATGGTGCCCTCCAGATTTAAGATCAGAGAAATAAATAGAAACTGGAATGGAGCAGCCAGGAGGGAAGGAGGAAAACCAGAAGAACGTGATGTGTAAGAAGCCAAGGAAATAAAACATTTGAGGAGGAGAGAGTGGTTGACCACATCAAACACCTCTATTAGTTCAAGAAAGTTAACAGTGGAGGCTTGGACATTAGATCAGTTATGTGGAGCCCTGGGGAAAAATACCACTGGATATGATTCAAGAGAGAACATCATTCAAGAGTAATTAGAGACACTGACCTCCTACCCTTTAGAGGAGTGTTGCTGGGAAGTGTAGCTGGAGGGTGTGTGAAGTTAAAGTATTTGTCTTTGCTTTTTGTTTTCAAGATGGAAGGAACTGCAGTAAGATTCTGTGCTCATGGAATTGATTTAAAAAAGTGCAGAAAGAATGGGGAGAACTACTGGAACAAGTGACAAGGGGTCTCTGCACAAAGGCAGGGTTATCATTAATTAGAAGATGGACATTTTATTCTTTGTAATGGGGGAGTGAAGAAAGAATATAAGATCATGGATGTGCGTTATTGTAGAGGTACACTGTAGCAGCTTGTGGACATTCTCTCTAGAGTGCCTCAATTTTCTTAGGATTTTAGGAAGCAGGGTAGTCAGTGGAGAAGGAAGAAGCATTAGAGATTTTTGAAATAGTTTCCTGGGGTAGTAGGAAAGTGGAAGGATGAGAGAAATATGTTCTTTTTAGGCAACTTTTACAAAAACTGGTATGTGTGTGTGTTCAACCAAGGTTAGTTGCATTTATTTAGGTATAATATGAGTAGGAAAACAGGCAGAGTTAGAATTAAACCAATGTTACAGTTTTTCCTGAAGAATGTGTGACAAGGAGGAAAGGACAAGGCTGTTGAGGGCATTCACGAGAGAGTGAACTACAGGCTCTTGGCTAGGTTGGGGTGGAGGTGAGCTTATAAGGAAGTGATGCTTTGTGAGGAAGGGATATTATCAGCAAATCTCAGGGAGGTCAAAAAAGTTAGTCAATGTAGAGTTAGACAGAGTGATCTGGAAAGAGTGGACTTGGTGGTTGGTGTAGGGGATGGTTGAATTGTAGGTAATGATGGGTTTACACCATTAGTATTGATAAGGTCCAGGAATGTTTGTCTAAGGAAGGATAAACAGGATACTTGTGAAGAAGAAAGAGGTCAGGGAACTGAGAGGAAGAGACACTGGGAGGAGCATAAACACGAGTATTGCACCAGCTGAGGCTTATAATAAAAACCCTACTGGAGGGAGAGATGGTGAATGAGGAGCCAGTGTCTTGAGGGGAGGAGGTCAATTACCTGGAGAGTAAAAGAAGTGGGAATGCACTGGAATTTGTCTCTGTGTCTCTAATACACCACATGGACTGTGAGAAGGGAGCTTTTTTGTTTTGTGTCTTTTAACCCTATAGTTCACAGATTATCCTAACTATGTAAAATAATGGCCGGCACATTGAAGGCACTCAGTTAATGATAGATGAATGTATCAATGAATAAACATATTTATAATATCTCTTACTGATCGCTGAAGCAAAGAATGAAATGTGTTTATGATTCTCGGCTACATATAGGCTAGATTGCAAGGCGCCTGGGCAAAAGGAACGAGAGAGTTGAAAGGCAGATCGGCCTGGAACTGGTTACCAGAATGAAGTGAATCAAGGAGTATTGGTGAGGCAGAGTGACAGTCATTACTTGCTTTTATTTTCCAGCAACATATTCATCATACAATTTTTAAAGGATGATCACTTTTCAAATTTGCCGGTGTATCCTTTAATGTTATTTTCTACAACACTGACTTTTTTTAGATCTTTAAACTAAGCTCAGTATTCTTAAATTACAATTCTATTATATCTCTGTTATTCCTAATATTAGAATTATCTAAAAATACCTTTTGAAGTTCATGACTGTCTAAAAATACTTGAAATAATGATTATTTTCCAGTGTTCAAAATATAAATAACACTTCAAATATCTTCTTGGGGAAGAAGACTGGATTAGGGTTTTTCTGATAATAAGTAAAAAAGGATGTTTATGTTATTTTTTGTAAGTGGAAGTGAATTGCTTAGTAGGATGGCATGAAATCCTAAAGTAGGAGTTTTTTAGAGGTGAGAGGAAAAGATTGATCTAGAAATGTTCACAAGAAGCAAAACAGATACTGCCTTTCCTTCCATGCCTAGAGGGTTGCCATGGAAGCAGTGCCCTCAGGAATTAGATTACTGTTTGCACAATAGATAAAGGTTTCCAAAGTTGGAAATGAGGAGGAGTTGGGTCTTCAGAGGGGATATTAAGAACCATGTGGGAATTAAAATCCTGGATATGAAGGATGATGGCTTAGGACACGTGGGTGTCTTAAGATTATGCAGGTGACCAGGGAGGAAATACATCATGAGATTAGTCCAGATCACCTCATCTCAAAATGTTAAAGAAATGAGCTCAGAATAAGAAGATCTAATGTAATCATATTGACTAAAATCATACGGTTAAATCCAAAATCTCTACTATATTAAAGACAAATGATAAGAGACCTTATTACTGTAGATTTCAGGTGGAAAAGACCCAGTATTTTCAGTTATTTTACAAAAAGGCCTGAGCAGGAGAGAGTCTGTCTATACAGCCCCACTTCATGTCCCAATTAACCTGGAAGCAGATAGGAAAGAAAATGAAAGATTCCTCCAGATGTGTGGTAGAGCTGTAGTCTGGATCTGTGCATGATGTTTTCCCTGGTGCTCCCCTTACAGTGAGACAGACTTACTCCAAGAACTGTGGCTTCTTTTTGCAGACCTTCCTGCAGGTTTTCCTTTTGGTAGCTGTGTCCAGGTTTCTCTCCGTGGGGGATAATGATGCCCTTCAGAGTGAAGGCGTCAAAGGCTTTCTTGGTCTTGGGCTGCAATAACATGATGCTGATGGTTCTGGAAGAGGCAATGAACTCAGTGAGCTCAATTAGGGCCCAAGGTTTGACTTAAGGATACGAAACTCCCAGGAATCAGACTTTGTAGGAGCGTAATATTTTTCTCCATTGGATGATTTACCTTTAAGGAACAAAGCTGGCTGTGGGGGAGCAGTGGAAGCATTGGAAAGCTATGCATGCTTGGCACAGTCTGTCACTGTGGACAGGAAGCAAGGCGTGGGGCAAAAACTGTAAGCGTTTTGAGGAGGCCCACAATTAACAGTTGAACAATTCACGTAGCATTTGCTCTGCAGCCTTGAGTGTGTCCAGCTCCCTCTCCCTCAACGACCCTTCCTTCCAGCCCCCCTTCCTTCGCCCTGTACCTCTGGTTCACCTGTGGTACATTCCCGTGCCGCACCTCCCAGTACTGTGCTTTTATGCTACCCCTGTCCTGCTCGGTCTTCCATCAGAGTCCTGTTTACTGTCCATTGATAAGTTGATAATCCTATTCCACGTTCCTTCCCTGTATAGAGCCTGTCCCACCTAGAATGACTCCTTCACCTTATTAGCTTAATAATTGCGTATACGAACATTTATTTAACTCCTGCTGAATTACAGCACTAGGCCATAGTACTAACCTTTATAACAACTTAAATGTTATTAAATACACTTTATACATCAGAAACTCAGGACAACTAAGTTCAAGTGATCTTTGTTAAATGGTACAGTCACACAGAGCACGAAGTGCCGGCGCTTAGTTTGACACATAGAAAGTGTTTGAAATGCAGCAAATACAGTTATTCGCCTGTATTTGCATAACTGGAAGTTGTATGAACCGGGTCAGTCTGACTCAGAAGCTTATGGTATTTTTCTCAACACTACACTAACTCCCCTCATTAACTTCCCCTTCCTTCCTCCCTAACATTGGCAGCTCCGGGGTAGGTTTAAGGAGCAGGTTGTCTGCTGAGCCCCAGCTCAGCAGCACTCCTGGGCTTTTGGGGTGTCAGCAGCAGAGTTCAGCCACAGGCAGGCTCCCCAGGTCTCTTCTCTGCAGCACGTTCTCTGTCTTGAAGGTCCCAGTTTAGACTAAGGTTCATGGTAATCTGATGGAGCCACAGTTCTATTCCCTGACGCTTCACCTCTATCTCTTAGTATTCTAGGAATGGTTCCAGGCTCTCTCAGGTGGGGTGCATAGCACATAGAGATTGGAACTGGCATCAAAATCTCATAACTGGTGGGGAGATGGGGAAGGGCACTGCGCTGGGAGTCTGATGCCTCAGCACATGGTTGTACATCTGAACAATGGCTAGGTGAGGTAAGCTCATACTCTATACTCATCAAGTATCACCAAATTCACCATAGGCAAGTTATTTCAGCCACTTCATAGGTTTGTGGTGAGGGTTAGATGAGATGAAGTGTGTAATGAACTCAGCATAGAGCAGGGCACATGATGAGCTCTCCACACGTATTAGTTATGTCCGAGGCTCACTGGAATTTCAGCTCTGGTATTTATTAGCTGGCCACAGGCAGGCTATTTCCTCTCATTCATCCTCTGTTTCATTACCTATAAAATAGGCATATCATGAAGGACTCGTGTGAGGATTTGAATGAGGCGGTGTACGTGAGTGGCCTTTGTCATGCCTCTGTGATGTGCACGTGCTCTGTAATACTCAAAAAGACGTTGGTGGCCTCTACTCCATTTCTACTCCTACATCTTTCCCCTGGTTAAGTTTCTTATGTTCTCAGGGCATCAACTACCTTATTTGAAGAGTTATTAAAAATAAAGTTCTCCTTGTTTAATGGGCTGATTTTCACTTTTTGGGCCGAAGTATGGAATATGGGCAGAAGTATGGGTGAGGCTACCTGAACAAGGAGAGGAATAGTGTTGATACTGAATCCTTGTGGTAGAGCTGGGGCAAGGATGCTGTGATAGTTCCAGGCCCCCTCCACTGAGCATTCCAGCACATCTTTAGAGCCAGAGATTCTACGTTTCAAAATGAAACAATAGTTTCTAATAAAATGAAAACAACTACTAGCATTTATTGAGCACCCACTGTGAGTCTGACAATATTAAGAGTTTTGCATAGAGTCTCATTTAATCTACACAGTGACTCTTAGAGATAGGTGCTGTTGTTACTTAGGGAGGCGAATAGTTTGCATAAGACTGTGTACCTAGCATGTCGTGGAGGCAGGTTTGAACCCAGGCAGTCTAACGCCAGAGCTCTTCGGTCCCCTAGAGATGTGGGCATACTCATGGAGCTACAGGACCAGCCCCTGTGTCCTTCCTCCCTTAGAGCTGAAGTCCATTGGCTGCCACTCAGCAGCTCCACAGTCACTCACAGGTACATTTCTGACCTTGGGGAATGTGGGTTCATGGTCTATATGTCCAGAGTTGGTCCCACAGTCTCTTAACTTGGCTTCTGCCTTGCTCCCTGTAGTTTAAGTGCCCAGATGTGCCAAGTAGACCCCTTCTTCTTTCTGGTCTTAATAACAAGTTTCTCAAAGTTCATATGTATTGTCACATACTGCAGGACTTCCTCCTTTTAAGGCTGACCTTGAGGACATGTGCTAAGTGAAATAAGCCAGTCACAGAAAGTACAAATACTGAATGATTCGGCGTACAGAAGGTATGCAAAATAGTCAGATTCATAGTAGCAAAGGTTAGAATGGTTTTTGCCAAGGTCTTGGGGAGGAAGAAATGGAGAATTGCTGTACAAGGTGTATAACATTTCAGTTATGCCAAAATAAGCTTTAGAGATCTTCTGTGTAACACTATGCCTATAGATAACAATACTGTATTGTACATTTGAAATCTAAGAGGGTAGATCTCATTAAGAATAGATCTCATTTAAAAAATAAAATTGGGAAGAAAGAAAAAAAAAGATTGAACCCCAATTAGAAAAAAAAGGCCTCATAGTTCTGGATTCCTTCCTGTATTTTTCGGTTCTTATTCCCAGAAACTACCGGATGTGCTCTCTCCTAAGCCTGAAGCTAGGACTTGGAAGCCTAGTTATTACCTTCTAGCTCACTGCACTCTCAGATATTATGTACATTTATTGCCCTTTATTGTTTTTTAATTGTTTTCTTTAAAAGAGAACATAACCTAGCAACTATAGTAGAAAAAGGAATAAGGTTGTGAAGGAAACAGAAAGTTCCCTGCATCTCAACTACCATGCAACTGCCGCTGTCTCATATATGTTTTTTATACTCTCTTTTTCTCCTCTCTCATTTTGTCTCTCTCCTCTCTGTATGTATGTTTACATACATTCAAAATCCTACGCTAACAGAGTCATTCTATCTGTGCCATTCAGAAATCTTCCTTCTGCACTCAATGCTATTCTTGGATGTCTTTAACACTAATAAATATAGATAATAAAAGCCCTAAATTTAAAAGCCAAATGGTAAATTCTGACACATGCTGCAAAATGGATGAAAACCCTGAAGACAATCTGCGAAGTGAAATAAGCCAGTCACCCAATGATTGTACTTCTGCGAGGCGCCCAGAGCACTCAGATTCAAGGAGATGGGAAGCGGGCTGAAGGCTGCCAGGGGCCGAGAGGAGAGGGGAAAGGGAGTTAGCATTTAAGGGCATGGAGTTTCAATTTGGGAAGATGAAAAAATTCTGGGCTTCAATTGTGGTGACAGTTGCACACCAGTGTGAATGTACTAAATGCCACTGAACTGTACACTTAAAAATGGTTAAAGTGCTAAATTTTTGTTATGTATATTTTGCCACAAAAAAAGCCAAGTTAAATGTTCAAATGAATAGGTGTTCCAAGATTCATTTAACCAGTCATGTACTTGTGGTTATTTAGGTTATTTCTGTTTTTTTGCTATTATTTGTTACCTTTACAATCAATGCCATAAGGAACATCTCTGCCTCTTTGCTGTACCTCACCTTTTCAATTATCTTCTTAGAAGTGGATTTACTGAGTTTAAGGCTGTAATACTCGAATTGTGACACATATTGCTAATTTTTAGGAGGCATCCTGGATAACCAAGATCGTTCATGGATTTATGAGGAGTCTCTGGACTGATGCCATCATCTCCAACGCCACAGTCCAAGGGGGAGGCCTTGTCCTTCCGCATCCACCAAGTGGGGACAAACTTGGGGTGCCCCACAACCTTCCAAGACAGTTCTGAAATCCTCACTTTGGGTTCAAACCATAGGTTGAAGGACTGCTCTGCACACAGCAGTTTCCTCTGTTACAGAAACAGCATAGAACAGTGGGGTGCTCCTGCAGGATTTCATCTAATTGCACCATACTTGCTGAGAGCATGTCCTGTGTGAGACTGAGGGACATACCACAAAGTGCAGACAATTGTGGGAAATTACCACCTCCAATCTCGAAAGAAACCTAAGGATCATTTCACCTAGTTCTCTTATTTGGAAAGTGTGTAAACTGAGGCCCAGAGAGGGGAGCTGACTCACCAATTCATTGCAGGTCATCAGCACAGAGACAGGAATCTGATTCCTGGCTGGCTTTTCAAAAGACAGTAATCTCTCCCAAAATGCCTGATCCAAACCAAGGTACCTACCTGTTCTTGCCGCCCAGTCTTGGGTGTTGTGGCTGGTGGGTCAGCTCACCTCTGGGGAGCCTTCAGCCAGAACTGCCTCCTAGGCTGTTCCTGCTGAATGATTTTGCTGCTCTGCTGTCCAACCCTGAGACTTCCTGTCCCTTTCTCAGAGCAATTTATGATTACACAAGATAGGGGTTTCGCTGTACTTACAGTTAAATATAAAAAATATCTCTGCTTCCTCTTTCTAAATTTCACTGTCTGAGAATGACATGAAAATGAAGTAACACATAAGGGAAGGAGCTTGTGAAGACTAGTGAGTTCCGTGCCCTTGTTAGCAGTCGTTTCCCCCATTCCTGTAGGTAATTCAAACACTTCCTCTTAGCCTGAGTTTTCTTATCTACTAAATGGAGATGGATAATAATTACCCTATATGGCTTTTGGGAGAATTAAAGGGAAAAGATGTAAAGAGCTTACAAAAAGTAGGCACCCAATAATTACTAGTGATAATAATGATGTTAATTTTGAGTTTGGGAGAATTTATGTATTTTCCCATTTCCAGGCTCTTGGCAAACTGAAAGCGACCTATGGAGACTCCTGCCTTATTATTACTTCTTTGGGGCTGCCTTGTCCTCTATCTTTGGCTCCATATCTTCCTAACTTCGTGCGCAAGAAGTCCAGACACATCTTGGGAAGGATGTCAGTGGATTGGCATCAGAGGCAGAGCCATCGAGGCTGCAAACAAGCTCCTATCCTGGGAATTACAGGTTGTTGAAGGGATGCTGTTACCACCCTCACATTACTTTTAAGGCTGCCTGGAGAACAGCTCTGAAGGCGAGGGGTCAGGATGGCTCTGGGAAGTGCAGCCTGTAACAGCAGCCAGCAGCCTGCGATACCCCATGGTTCTCTACTTCCTAAAGGCTGGCAAGGCTGTTCCCTGAGGGAGGAGCACATCTAAGCCAGGGGGCATTAATAGACTCATAAATACTTGGAGACAATTCTAGTCCAACCCTTTTGTCCTCCATATGAGGTGACATTGCCGAAGGAGCATAACCGCAGTTCACACATCCGGTCAGTGGTCCAAACAGGACTGGGATCCAAGTCTCTTGGCAGCTCGGGCTCACGACTGTACTTTGGCAGCAATCTTTCACTGTCATTATCTTCATCGTAAGACCAACGTCGTCATCTTCTTCACTTCAGAAGACCTTCCTGGTCCAGACCTTCCTCCGGGTCTGTGACCTGCTTTGAACAGAATGGCAAAGGAAAAGTCTCCATCATTGGGCTTCTCTCATACATCTTCTGCAAGCCAAAGAGGTGACCCTAAACCAGTAGTATCAATATTTTTATTTTATGTTGAAAAATTAATATTCAGACACATATGTACATATACATATGAATACACGTATATATGGTAAATGTTTAAAAAACTTTCACTTGATTTTTTTCTGATACTTATTATCCTCAGTTTATCATTAGGGTAATTTTTAGTATATCCTAAAATTTGAGGTGTATGTAGTGATTAATTTAGCTATAATATTTTTCTGTTTATACCATGGATATAAATACATACTAATCAAAGCCTCGTTTGTAAAAATGTTCATCCATGAGAACGTCAGAACTGACGTTGCTGAGCTGCTCAGCACTGTTTCTGACTAAATTGAACAATCTTCGTAGTTAATTTAGTTTCAACCAAGTTTACATATGAAAAAGACTTGCTTAACTACCATGTCACAGATAATTTATTTTCTGCTTTTATATGCATAACTCTGTGCATATATGTTGTAGGTTAGGATTCGCCAGGATTAGATCAATATTGTTATCAAATGTTTTCAGTTAATTTCCAAACCCGTATTTGCTTGCATGGCAACACTATTCATTCTCTTTATATATATGCATATGGATGTGTATCTGTGTACATCGGTGTATAAATGTGTGTGTGTGTGTGTGTGTGTGTGTGTATTTATATTTTCTTTTCCACTGTTAGGAATGAAAGAGAAACTAGTGAAAAGAGGACTGAGACTTGGGGAAAAGGAATTGAAGCAGGAGATGGAAGAAGCAGTTAAAAGGGGTTGAAAAAGTTCTGTTTAGAAAATTAAAACTTTACAAATCAACATTACAAAATCAAATTGGGTGATACAATCAAGGCTTAATCTTGGCCTATGCAATATGAAATAAAGTGTATGTTTTCAATTTTTTGACAGCATGCACATGATTGAAGATTAAATGATTGATAGTTTCTGGCTTATAATTTCTTAATTTATGGACAAGATGACATAGTTTTCACGTACTTACATAGTATTGGTACATAATACTTATAGTCAGTACTCTGAAATAAAATTAATCTCAGATATAAAAACTTATTAATACTTTTGAGATAACACAAAATGTTGGCTAGAAGTAGTTCTTCAGCCTCATATCACTTTTTTGTTCCCTTTTAGTAATGCATATCTTTATATAATTTTGCTTACCTTAATTACTTCATACATAGATGCTCATTATTACCAAAAGCAAGAGCACGTGGTTATTTTTTTATGTTACTTTTTAAATCCAAGAACTATAAATTTTACTCAAGTCATGAAGTAACAATAAATACCACAACTAAATTGTTCAGAAATTTTACATACACCTGTGTGTAGCGATATCTAAATCTGAGATAATTCTTTTAAATATTCTTGGTTATTTGTAAAAACTGCTCATTTTGGGGGAGGAGTATTAGTGGATAGGTTAGCATGATCAACACATTCATAAATATATTCCTTGATAAGTATCTCTTAATATGAATATCATCATCTTTGATCCAGTGTGTACAAATGATTCAAAAAATAAAACTGACAGAGTTTACAGAAACTGCAGAGATTAAGCAAGCAGAACCTTTCTCTGTTAAGTGTGAACTTCAGATCCAGGACCAAAAGGAACTCTTTAATATTCCCTGGTTGTCACATGGTGGTTTCTGCATGTATTGTGCCCTGGACAGTTGTAAGGTGTAAACATACAGAGGGTGTCAAACGAACTCTCTCCTGTGCTGCTGGGGATGTTACACGCATATAGGACACTGTTTTTTCCCTCCCTTCCTTCTTCTCCCTGTAGTTAATTTTTAAAAAGTTTTTCCATTGGTTGATTTTGTGATTTAAATAATTACTTCTGTATTTGTAAATGATGAGCACGCTTGCCTGTGTGTGATTGTGTGTGCTAATGTGTGCATGGGTAAAGGAGTATCAACCTCTTGAAAACCAGAAGCAGATTTCCAGGGTGCTTTATATCCTCAGATGTTAGCAAATGAAGTCATTCATTTGGGGTTGTACAGGCTGGCAATGTGAAAAAACAAAATAACCAGATTGGAAAGAGAAGGGAGCTTTGAAAAGCTTTCTTTGACTGGAAGAAGTTGATTTGTGGGAAAATCAGTTAAACATCCAGTCAGTTCTCTCAGATATGAAGTGATTATAAAAAGATCTTCAGAATTTTTGTGAGTACTAAGTCATAAAGTCATATGTATATAAATCTGTATTAAGTGGCCAGCACAGAGTCTGACATATATTAACATTCAGAAAAATCTGTATTCCTTGTACAACATCTTCTCCCACCCCCTTTATAGAAAAGTGTGCTTGATCTTTTAGATTGATCTCTGGTGTCTATGTGCCAGTAGAGTAATGTAGAGAAAATGTTTTCCTACATTTACTCTAAATCCATTCTCCTGTACATTGATAGGAATAACCTCAGCCCTATTCAAAGAGTCCTGGTGTCTAGATGGCAAGTGACTCATTGTGCTAAGCTTGCTTTAAGGGTGCAGTCTAGGATTTCCCAATTTCCCATCCTCCCCACCCCAAGCCATGAAGCTAGGAAAAGTGGAAGTGCATCATCTCAGAACTGTACTGACCTTGAACTGAGATTTTTTTCCTCAGAATAGGCGATGCAGGGTCTGACTGTCTAGGAGAGCTTCCCCAGAGCCGCAGTTTGCTGTCGGTTTGGCATTCGGTTTTGGTTATTGTCTTGCACTCATGGGTTCTTTATTCCCCCTGCTTAGTTTCTCATGTTATGACAGCAGAATAAAAGCTAAAGGATCTTTTTCCCAGCCTCACATTTTCCAGGTGGAGAAACTAAAGCCCACAGATTAGTTGGGGAGTTGGGAGTGGCTGGGATGGTGCCTGATTCACACAGGTTTTACCTCTATAGTTTGGTGATTTCTTCATGCCTTTCAGGTCTTTACTGCAGTTAATGATTCTTTATGGCAAATGCTCTCTGCTAAAATAATTTGGGAGGTCTCTGTCTCCTGACTGATCACCTAAGCTACCTACTTATCTCTCAGGTCACACACTTGGTAGTTAGTACAGTCTAAATTTGGATCCAGGAAAGCAGACTTCAGGGACCACGCTCTAACTACTCTGCTCTATTATTGCTGCCGAACTTGCTTACTGGTCCTCTTGACTTGAACAGCTGATCCCAAACCTATTGTGAAACCTTTCCTTCCAAGTGAAATGTGCACGGATGGTCATCTGGTAGTACCCTTGATGTGTGGGTAAAACACAGGTGATGGACTGACCACTCACTTGATGGAGGGTGAAAGAACGAGACTGGTGATGAGGAAGTGAGGTTGGTGAAGGAGCCAGATGGTGATGAGCTGAGCATCTGCCCTTGGGAGAACTTCAGGCCAGACACTGCAGTGTTGCGTGTTGGGAAGAAGTGTTGCATAAAGTGGGGCCCCATGCACGCCACTCTCAGCAGCTCTGCCAGGCCTCCTGGAACTTCACAGACAGTCTCCTTCCTGAAGAGGTGTAGAGGCCCAGTATTCCTCCCAAAATTCCAAATGGAAAAAAAAATGGGCTTCCTCTTCATTCATTCATCTGAGTGCCTCTTCTGTTCCCAGCTGCATTCTAGGGGATATGTCATGTGTCCCTGTAAATGTGTATGCTGAAATCCAAACACCAGTGTGATTATTTGGGGGAGGGGCCTTTGGAAGGTAATTAGGTTTAGGTGAGCTATGAGGGTGGGGTCCTCATTAAGGGATTAGTGTCCTTATATAAAGAGGACGAGACTAGGGGGCTCCCTCTGCCATGTGAGGACACAGTGAGGAGGCGGCCGTCTGCAGACCAGGAAGACAGTTCTCACCAGACACCAAATCTCCTGGCATCTTGACCTTCTCACACTCCAGAACTGTGAGAAATAACTGTCTGTCATTGAAG